CTGCTCGACAACAATTTTTATTCTAAACATAAAGACTGGTTCGGTAATGAGGAGCTTCATCCAGACATAATGAATATTGCGCAAGGATCTTATAAAAAAGAAGGTGGATATGATCAAGGCATTCGAGGCACAGGATATGTTGTTAATGCTCTGGAAGCCGCTTTGTGGGCTTTTTGCTATGATAAGGATTCGTTCGAAGTTGGAGCTCTTGCTGCAGTCAACCTCGGCGATGATACTAACACAACAGCGGCGATTTATGGCCAATTAGCTGGTGCATATTATGGTTATAGTAAATTACCTAGGAAATGGTTGAATTTTCTATACGGTGCAAAGTTAATACAGTGTCTGAGCAAATGGATTGTGTACGAAGGAGAAAGATGGCGTCCAAATAGATTGCAGGAGTCGGTTTCGGCTATTTCTACCCATCATCAACCACATAATAATACTATCTACTCGCCTAATAAGCTAACTGTTAATTCCAACGCACACACACCCGTTTCGCCATATAATTCACAGCGATTCCCTGGCAAACATTCTGAAATAAGGCAATGTCCTGTATCCCACCTCGTTCATCAGGTGGTTGTCATAGAACCAAATATCAACAAGAAGTCAAATCTAAAGCCAATGGTACCTAATAAGGTTATTGAAATTGTTACACCACAGGCTGCTTCTAATTACAATAATTATTCTCATTTGCAACCTGTTTCAAATAACCTTATGTCTTCCCTCCATCCAAAGCCACTCCAAATCGCGGTTTCTATGCCTGTATCCAAACGTAAGAGTTTTGTATTCGACCATATATTGAGAATTATTTCCTATTACGTTTTCCTATTATAGCCATGCAGGTTCCCAAAAAATTCGAAACATGTGAAGATGTTTGTACTTGGATTATGTCTCTCGATGAGGAATATGTGCGTTATGTACCTAACTTCAGAAGGAATAATATTGATGCATTTCATCTTCTCTGTTATGTTGATAAGAAGAAGCTCATTCAACTTGGTGTTCAGAAGTCAACTGATCAACAAAGAATCCTTGAAGCTATTGAAGCCCTTAGAAAAACCTTAAATGTAACTGCAGGGAAGAAAAATGAAGGACGCTTATGATTGCTCAAGTACATAAGACATTGACTCTGTAATTTTATTTATCACAAATATTTTATAAACATTCACTTTTATATTACAATAAAATTGCCTAAATGCTTTTAAACAGTTTAATTCTATAAGTAAAATATTTTCTATTTTAGATGCTAAATTATTGCTTAACCCTTTACACCCCTCCCCCATAGCGATTCCAAAAGAGACCTTGATAAAATTACTTCATAAATGGAGTATTAGTCCGTCTAATATGCCAATGATGTGGTTTGATCCATCGAGCATCCTGACAAAGAGAATAAAACGATATGATAAGCCTTGATTTTTTCTTCTGTGACCAAGGTGTCGAGTAGGCGGAAGCATTGTCTATCCGGCACTTTTGAAGTAATAGAAAAAAGAAAGGATCGAATTGATAACAATCAATATCAAAAGAACACTTGTATTTTTGACATATGTTGTCAATTACAGGTCTATTTTACTTGGAGTCACTTAATAACCTCCAAAGACATTTAATTCACATACTGTTCCAACTTATCATGAGTTGAGGTTTATAATGCACATGTTAATTTTGTTCTTTGTTGCCCTTCGTCTACATCATTTGCATTTGTAATTTAAGGAGCTATAATGAAACTTTTGAAACCTATCTAATTCAACAGTAGACTTCCTCGTCGATTTGTATCACATAGCTATTCCAAAGAATCTGTAATGATTGTAGGTAGAGAACGTTTTGTTTCAAAATATTTCATTTTTTCCTAAATTATCGATTTTGTAGGCCCGATATGTCAAAGATGGAGCGAGGAAAAGGAATAATCCTTTTATCAATCAATAGCCCTTGAAGTTTGCTACAAAAAAGGTTCCTAACGCTTTTCAATCCGACGCTTCCTTTATTTTCTACAATTGTTCTACAAATGGTTACTTCAGTGACCAAAGAGGGAAGGGTTAAAATGATTATAATGGTCTATAATATTTAATAAAATAAAAAGTACCTTATGTACACTGAAAAAAAATGGTATGATTACCAAACCAAAGATGGTTTCGGAAACTAAAAAAGTGTTCGTAATATGTACGAAATCCTAAAAAAGTTTCGATGTCTGAAACGCATCTAAACCTTGTAAAGATTTCATAGCAAATCTACGAAATCTGTAAAAAAAAAGGGTGTGGATGTGGGATGTGGGTGTGCAGGGTGTGAATGTAGGTGTAGGTATGAATATGGGTGTAAATGAAGAGGAGACTGATACCGAAAATTACAAATTCACATCTGCACCCTCAAGAAGAAAAATATTGAGCATAAAATATTCTAGATAATTCGTGTAGTTTTCATGCCTGAGAAAAACGAGTTTATTTTCAAAGTATCATGTAAAAAAACATCGACAGAACAGCTGGCGTGAAACTCGTTCTTAAAAATAAATTCGGTTTGCGTCTTTTTTTTGAAAAAACTGAACCTGTGAAACACATGCCTTTCGGATAAGAAATCAATGAAACGTCCTATTGAACATTTTCTCCGGAAAAATAAACGCATTTTGCATTGTTTCCGCTCTCTAACTTTGTGAAACTAGTTTTATTCGCACAAGAACGCAGACCAATGCGTTTCATTTGAAAGAAACGCAACACAACATGTTTTCATACAGTAGAGATGCTCTTCCTTTACTTTGTTATGCTATGGGACGATCTTCAAACCACCATAAACTTTCAAGAGAATCTTTACTATATACAAAGCATCATTTCGTTCAATAAACAAGTATATCGCTTATAACTCTTCAACGACTCATTCGATTGCCCCGATATTTTTATCATAAACTTTTCAGATATGGGTCTATCTAATAGTGATGTTGCGGATCCTCTTTTAAAATGGAAAAAACCTCAAATAAATATTTCTATACAACGAAAACCAGAAAGGAACGACATCTTTTGATGCTTTTCAGTAGAAGAACTATACATTCTATTAGTCAATGTAAACGATGAATTCTTATTTCTCTTTCGATGGATGTGCTGCTGACGCACACGTTTTTGCGCAGACTTACTTTCATTAGTCCACTCCAACATATAGTCTTCTCTTCTATTTTGTGTGTTTTTAACGCAACACCAAAACATAGTATTTTTTATATTCCATACGTGTGTTATGGCAATGTTTTTTGTTCTTGCCGGGATTCTGTTGATAATATATTTTGTATACGTCAAACTAAAGTATTTTATCCTACATGGGCCTTTGCCGGGGAAATCGCCACAATTTTTATTCGGAAATATCGTACAGACGGGCATATTAAGTGGAGTTTCTCCAGCTACTATTAGCTTGCAAATGCAAGCAGAATTTGGCGATGTTTATCAATTCTGGATTGGACCCTTGCGAGTCATCGGTATATGCAACATTGAAGATATACAACATGTCTTTAGTCATCGACAAATCTATGAACAAGGCAATATATACAGAGATCATCATACTCTTTTCTTCTCAGATGCAATGATTTGCAATATAGGTCAGTGATAAATGACAGTTGTGTTGAAAAGTTCGATTTTGAAGCAATATAATTTGTGACTCTAGGAAGAACAGGATACTTTTTTAATCAAATATCAAGAACAAAAACTTCTCAGCACAGTCCCTTCAGGGCTTAAATGTAGATCTCACAAATATTTTTTTCAACTAAAATACCTAAGTTTTGAATATTCACTCTCTAAAATATTTGAATTTAATTGTCTGTCATAGACTACAAAAATCTTGACTTATAGCTTATGCTCCTTATTTTTCGTCGAAAAATATAAGTGAGTGGCACAAAAAAGATTGAGATTAGTGGAAGTTTTATCTGAATCATAAACAATTCGCTATATTCTACATGCTTTCAAATTGTGTATACGAAGAAATAGTCGTATTTGATTATTGTATTTCTATCTTAGGAGCTAAATACAAGCGTCATGCAAACATAATTATTCCTCTATTTCGTCGAAGTAAACTCTTAGGCAGTTTGGAACTAATCAATGATTGTACAGACAAATTACTCGATCGATGGCATTCAAAGAATGATGATCCTACTCGTATTCATCTCGATATAGGAAAACAATGTCAAGATCTATTACTCGCAATCTTTGGTTTAATAGGATTTGACTATGATCTACAAACATTGACCGCTGATGATGATATCAAACCTAACAAACTCGCAAAATCTTTACGCGAGTTTTTGGATATTTTTATGTTTACTATCTGCATGCCATCAATCATGACCAAAATCTATCTAAAATTCAGTCGTCAATATCGCCAAGCGTCCAATATTATCAATGAGTATTTGGATAGCATCATTGAGCAAGAACGAAACAAGACACAAGAATCGATTGACGAACGAAAGAGAACTAGTCTAATTGCATCACTCGTTTATTCATTACATCAAGATGAGAAAAGTGATTCGACCAAATCAGACGGCAAACAGAAAGGTATATGAACTATTTTCAATAAAATTATCTTTTTCATATTGAAAAACTACTCTGTTGTGTTAGTCTCAGGTACTTATGTACTCACTGATACATACTGATTCAAGTACTTACGTAAGTACTTGAACAAGTATCTACACACGCATAAAACATAAGCCTGCATTTTTCACATAAAAACTTTTTGAGAGTATTATTAATAATTTCTATCAGATCGTAGGATATCATTTTGCCATGTGCTTTCAAAAATGAGCATTGTACCTCTTTGAGTGTACTCAAGGTGAATGAGGATTCCCTTAATATCGGCAACTACTGATAAAAATACCGAATACTTTCTACATGACAGTTTCAAGTGATTGTTCAAGCACTTGAGATCAGTACATTCAATAGGATTGTTTAGGGCTATCTCGCACTGAGGTGCTCCATGAAATACTCCTATTTCTTATCGCTGGCTATGAAACAACATCGTGTGCACTCGCATGGTTCATTCATTTAATGAGTAAAAATCCTCGAGTTCAAAAAAAACTCAAAGCTGAATTGGGCGACAACAAACATCAACGCCTGTCTATTGAACAGCTCGACTCTCTTGATTATTTGAATTGTGTTATTCAAGAAGTATTGCGTTTTTCTCCACCTGCCGTGACGACATTTCGCACTGTAACTATGGACGACCGACTACCCGCAAGTGGAGCTCAGTTGTATAAAGGCGATGAACTAATGATTAATATCTATAATTTATCACGAGACAAACGCTATTGGAAGATCGATCCAGATCTATTTTATCCTGAACGATTTCAAACTGAAGACAAAGATCATCATCCATATGCATTGATTCCATTCGGTGGTGGTCATCGACAATGTATTGGACAAGATTTAGCTCGATTAGAATTCAAAGCGATCGCTAGCAGACTTATGCAACATGTGACTTTTAGTGATGGTGGTCCAGAAGTTAATGCAGGTGGACACAACCAAACACTTACACTCATGCCTAAGAATGTCGGTGTCATTATTACATTCGACTAATTTTTAATATTCTTTAGACATTTACTTTCTAAAGATTAAATGAATCAGTTTTGCTGTGTAATTGAACATTTTTATAAAGCTTAAAAACACGTTCAATTTATTTTAGCATCATTAGAGCTCATTCTATTATGTGTCTGTGAGACATGATCAGAAATAAATGTTGAAATACAAAAAATTTGTGAAGCTGAAACAATACACTACCTTATGAGGACAAGTATTTCACATTATGCCAATAATGTATCTCATTTGAGTATCCTTATTGGATCTTTATTAAGTACTGATATTTTCTTGCTTGATAATATCAAACGATTTCATATTTGCTTTTTCATTGTTAATGTTAAATTTAAGGTATAATCAACTGAAAAAGTACAAAATTTCATGTATTTATAGTACTAATGAATATCTACAAATATTTCACAGAATTTATTTGCATATTTTTTTTTTTAATTTTTTATAAATTCATATATATTTGAAGTTTTCTGACAGATCATTATATAGCTGGAATATGACCAGATACAGCATGCCAATTTGTTAATGTTTGAAGTACCCAATGTCATAAGTGTGGTAAATTAATTAAGGATGTTGAATATATTGATTCAAAATGTCAAATTTGTCATAGTACACTCACATGTTAGCAAATCCGAATATATGTTTGAAATTAACACATTCAACATCTGAATTATCTTCAATTGTTTTAGATAAAATAATTTTTGTTATGAATATTAATAAACTTCAAAAATACAAACTTACTCTAACTATTTTCTTGTTCGTTTTAATTTATCAATCATATTTTTGATCAATTCAACTAAAATCTTCTTTAATTAAATTCACGAAGTTCAGAAGTTCGAGTTAAGAGAAACAACATAGCTACACACCCATGCCCTTTATATTAAAGCAGTTCTGATAGATTAATTATAAAGTGCATCTTCTATTGCTTGAATTCGTAGAATTGATTATGATCTTTTAGAAATATTTTCTTATTTCTTCTCGCTAACCTATTAGTGTTCGTTGGAAATTTTTCTTTTAAAGACATGATGAATTATTTTGACTAATCTAATCTGAACATAAACATCCATTAAAAAAGTATTGTACAATAGAAAAATAGATGAACGTTTAATAGGACTTTGGTGCTTTTGTTGCTTAGAATGATTTAATTTATTTGCAAATGAAAATAAACTAGAGAAAATTTGAATTGTTTCAATGAGTATACATAAAAACTCGCTTATGTGCTTGTATTTGGTCGAAAAATAATATTTGTGTTTCACTTTCGAATAACATTACTTATCTTGATAGTGATAAGCATAAACAATGTCGAACCGTTGAAGTACTTTGTTTTTTTCTGTTTTATTTGTGTCGCATATGTAATTTAAAAACAAAAAATTATTGTAAGTTCATGATTATAGTGATATTGATAAATGAGATAGAAATAATATTCATGATGGTGTTCACAAACATAAGATTTGCATAATTAATGATTTAAATATTATTTTTATTGTATGTATCAAGAACAACAAGATATTTTTGGTCATATGTTACATTATCATTTTAAAGCAATATCAATTACTCTTTTATTAATAAATAGAAACTTAAATTCATATGTTTTCTGTTGATGATGTGCATATCAACTGTCCTTCGTGTAAATGAAGAAAAAAAAAACATGATGTTATAATTTGTATAACTTATTCATCTGACGGACGACTTTTTCTTTTTTTACCTGTACTGATAATATCACATGTTTCGAGGAATATGGACCTTTCAGCATTTCAATGACATTTCTTTTATTATTAGTTTTTTTACAAAACATTCATCTTGTTATTCTCTATAAAATGACAGATTTTTTTTTTTTTTTATGAATGTAAATAGCTTTATGTAATTATATGTTTTAATTTAATCATGATAGCATCTTTTTGGTTTTAGTTTTTTTTCCTTGAATGTGAACTATTCGATGGCTAATGATACTTGTCAATAAAAGAGAGAAAGTTTTTTTTTTTGTTTTAGCAACATTATTTTTAGTGTCCTCTTGTCGAAAATAGTTACGAACTTTGTTAAAAAATATGAATTAAGAGAAATGTCATTAAAATACTGAAAGATTCATTCTCTTTAGATTATTCGATAGGTAATATTTTTTTGTCATCAATTACTAAATTATTAATCAATCACGCGTGAAATTATTATTCGTCCTTGATTTAGCCTTGAGCAATGAAACCTTACTTGATTAAATACTAATACATATTTAATAATTTATCATATTTCAAAAACAAATAACATTGACATAAAACAAATGTTATAATACATGCAAAAATATTTTATTTTTAATGATTAATTTTGTTTGTCTATATAATTGTTCATTTATTCAATTTCATAATATACTTAACTTAATTAAACCAATGAAATATTTTGTTTTAATATTATTAATAATTGTCTACATCAATAGATAATATATTGATATTTGTTTTTATTAAAATAATAATTTTTCATTATTTGAATAAGCTTTATTTCATAAATCCTTTTATTTTGTATAATTCTACATAATCTATTAGTTAACAAAAGAAAATAACAGTGATAATTGTTTGTTGTCAAACAATTATTTAAAAAAAAATTAATTATTTTTTAATTTTAATATGTTTATCAAGGGGGAAACGGCGAACTTTTGGACTTGAAGTTACTTTAAGCTACTTGTTCCTACTTTGGACTACTTGAATGGTACTTTGAGCTACTTCAAGTAGTCTACTTTGGCGTACTTTTCTACTTCAAGTCTGCCGTTTCCCCCTTGATGTTTACGATAATAATAAAAGGGAAGAAAAATAATGAGAGAAAAACATAACAATAGATAAAAAATCTATTTGCTAGACATGAATTTTATAATTTTCTGTTCTACAATAAATTAAAAAAACGAAACAAAAAAAAAATGTTTTTTCGTTGAAATAATCTATTCGAAGTCTTTTTCTTCTGATATTTTAACTATAAATAAAATATGTAATGTTAAAAAATAATTCTTAAGTTTGACGTTTATATGAGCTCTTTTGAATAAGATTTTGATTTTATTGAAGGAACAAAATTATGAAGCATTTGTAATATTTGTAATGGAGAAGCATTCGAAGTAATAACAATATCACAGGGTTGATTCAAATATGGAATAGATGGATAAATAGGATATTCCTCGATTGGTGGAAGAACAGGAAATTCTATTGGCACAAATGTACTTATACGTTCCATAATACTTAAAAATCGTACATAAACTCCAATAGGTAATTTTATTTCTTTTGTTGATTGAAGTTCATTATTGAGTAAAACATATGTTTCATTACGTTGTGCTGAACACATTTTGTATAATTGTACTAATGCTTGACCATCCATTTTTTCACATAGAGGCATAAGTTCATTTAACTGTTGATCAAAAAGAAAATCGAATACATCTGATTCTGTCCAATTGTAAATAGGTCGTTTTTTAAAATTTGAACTTATTATTCTTTTTGTATATATATCTGATAATTTACGAGGTTTTGGTGGTGGCGGTGGTGGTGGCGGAGGTGGTGGTGGTGGTGGTGCTGCAAACTTTATTATTTCTACTGGTTTTTCTTGTTGAACAACTTGAATTGGTTTAGGTGGAAGTGCTTTTTGTTTTTGTAGATTAATTTCATTCATTAATTTTTCACATGCTGTATTAAAATCAAAACGACCAAAATCAACATATATTCGTGAACCAATCATAAATCCTAACCAACCATCTGCTTTATATTCTGGTCGAACAATTAATGGAACTAAACGTCGTTTACAATTAAATGCATATTCAGCTTCAGCTTGACAATATGTACTTTTTTTATATGATTCTGACATACACATAATCACAAATTCAGAATTTTCAACAGCTTCAGCCATAGCATTCATTGCTAAAAATTAATATTATAGTATATTTATTTAGAGCAAAAAAAAAAATAATTTATTTTCTTTTTTTACCTGGACCAAACATATTGTTAAGATCAATCCAAATTTTAAAACCTTGATCTTTAAGAAATTGATGAATTTTATATACTAAATCTTTATCAGCATGACAATAAGAAATCATCATATCATAGTCAAATGTTCGTTCGACTGGTTGAGTACTAACTGGTACTTTTTTAATTATAACTTTTTCTTTTCCATCTTCACCAATGATGGTTTCGGTTGTTTCAATCATAGTAGTAGCATTTTTATCTTCTTGTTGTTTTTTTGCAACTTTTTCCAAAAGTACTGGTTCTAAAAAATACATATATATATATATATTTAAATATATTATTGTTAAATAATTCAGATTCGTAATCAAGAATTTTCTCAGGAAGATGCTTAACAAGAGAAAAAGTATTTTGATTTCACAATAAAATATGTTATCTATATTCTCCTTCAACTATTATTTGGACTAGAAAGATGTCCATGGAAACCCTTTCTTTAGCTAAAAAAATTATAAAATTATTTTAAGGTACCTTTTACTAGTTTCCAAGTAAGTCCTTCAGATGCTTTTTTCATAGCTTCATCATGAGCAGTTTGTGATACATTTTCAATTCTTTGTATAAGTTCAGTATTTGATCGAAGTGCAAGTGCTGCATCTTGAGAAAATGATAAAGACCATAAAGTTTCTAATAATAATTTCAATTTTACATCAATGAAATCATGTGCACAGTCAAGAAGAAATGGAAGTCCATTTTGTTTAAGTAATTCCTCTTTCATTTGATCATGTTGAACAAGACCTTGAGGAAAGAAAATAAATATATTATTTATTTATTATTGTTTAATTTAATTTACCTTTAAGTGTTTCAAGTAATTGTTCAGTTTGATGAGGATCCTCATTATTATCATGAATTGTAGCTCTTAATAAATTAAGTGTTGTTGATAGTAATGCACCTGGATTAGGCATTGTTTTAATATCATTTTCACTTGTTATATTAGAAAGAAGTGTATAAACATTATATTGTAATGGTTTATATTTAGCAGATGTTAAACGAAGAAATGAAGGTGTTACTTGTTTTTTTTTTATATAACCTAAAATTGTTGGTTCATTAACTATTTTACTAAGAAAACTAATAGCTGTATTCATTAAATTTGTCTCTGAATTAGATAATGTTTCATCAAGATTGGTATATAATATTTGTGAATCAATTATAGTTAATATATAATCAATAAAAGGTAGATGACTACTAATATATTCTATATTTGTTGATCCACGATCAACTATTTGTAATAGATAATCAACAGCTCGAATAGTTGAATTATTCCATTGATTTATAGATGGAATTATATTTCGTAATATATTAGTATATTGAGGTAACATTGTTGAAAGTAAATTATTCATTATTTGATCAATACGAGAACCTAAAAAAAAAACAAATAAAAATTTATAAATGTGTATTATTAATAAAATAAAAAAAAAAAAAAAAAAAGAATCGTACCACGATAAGATAGAAAAAATGATGGACATTTTAACAGAAAAAATTTTTCTTTTTGTCCAATTTTTTTGTTGTTTATATTCGTTATATCAAATGAATCAATATAATCTTGTGAAGAAAGACAATGCATAATAGGATCAATAAATTCAATTAATATATCTTGATTAGAATATTCTTTTTCATTTAATCTTTCTTGATAATCACTATAAATAGTAAATAAACGTATAAAATTTTTTGTTTCATCTTGATTATTGTCAATAATATATTTATTTGGTTTTGATATATTTGTTAAACAATCACGAATAATTTCAATAAATGATGAATCAAATAACCATGATGGATAAAAATCAGTTTCATTACTATTCTTAAAGATTTTTTTTAATAATTTAGGTGTAATTTGAAATAAAAATGATTGATCATCATTTAATTTGGATTTATTAGACCATTGTTGAATAACTTCACTAAATGGTGCTTCTATATGAATAAATAATTTATGATGAGCAACTGATACTAATATTGATGGACGAACAGGTATAAGTGCATAAATAATATCATTAAGTTTTCCAAGACGTTGTTCACTACGAGTATGTTTTAATTGACGTACTAATTTATCAAGTAAAGGTATTAATTCATCTGTTGAAATAGTTTTTGATTGATTGAAAATTATACTAGTATAATCAGTAGATGATGTTGAATAATTTACAGGATATTGTTGAGAAGAAAATTGAGTATTATTATTATAAGTCATTGGTTGTGATCGTGATTGATTATACATTGGATTGAATTGTTGATGTCCTGCTGATGATGGATAGTGCATTTGTATAATTGTTTTCTTTTTTGTTTTTTGAATTACGAATAATATATCAACTTTATTTTATAGAAAATGTTTTACAAAAAAAATATATATTTAAATCTATCGTATTTATCTAAGATTGCAATAACTTGTTTTCGCGTATTATTTTCGATAATGCATATATTACTCTTTCTTTTATTATCATAAGTATCATACATCGTAGGTGGAGAAGCAAAATTTATAAAGAGAGAATACACTTGTTTACAGAAAGAAAAATATAATACAATGTATCACAAAGAAAAAAAAAAGAATAGACCTTGAGATGTCCATGATTGAAATTATATACGTATATAAACAAAAATGAATACATATATATATGTATCTATTGATAGGGTTGATGAGAATTGAAATATTAATTTTATAAAATTTTAATTAAAAAAAACAAATATGGTTTTATTAACATATTTATATTCCAATCATCCATATTATTTTTGTCCTTCAAAACGAGGTAGGTTTCGTTTTAGTTTCCGCTCTATTGATCAACGTGAATGATGATATAAATAAAATGTACAAAACAGAAGTCAAATAGGCAAGCAACAAATCAAAGAATAGTAAAAAAAGAAAAAAAGAAAGAAAAGTAAATCAGTCTATTCATATTGATCATTTCAATCGACAATAACTATTTACAATAATAACAAGTGTATATCTTATAGTCATGATTGATCAATCAAATGATTCACCATCATTTATATCATCTATTTGGACTAATTTAATCGGTCGTGTTTCAAGAAAAAGAAATAGTTTTAAAAAATCAACAGACAATGATGAATCAGAATTATCAGCAGTCGAACGACAAACAGAAAATTCACGTAAAGGTGGAACTATATGGGAAGCTGTACGTAAAGCAGATGAACCTGCATTAAAACGTCTTCTTAATGATAATCCAAATCATGCTGATGCACGTGGTCCTGTTGGAGAATGTCCTATTCATATGTTATTTTTATATGGAACTGAATCTCATCTTAATATGGCTCGATATGTAATTACAAATTTTCCACATACAATAACACAAATCTATAATCAAGCTGTAAATTTAAAAACAAAAAAAAAAATTTTTATTTCTTTATGTTTTTTTTTTTTTTCTTTTAAAGGAATACTATGGTGAAATGCCTCTTCATATTGCAATTATTAAACGAAATCCAACTATGGTTGAATGGTTATTAGGTTATGAACATAATAAAGACTATATAGAACAACAATTAACAGCAGCTGCTAGTGGAAATTTTTTTAAAGTGTATGGTTTTTTTTGTTTTTATTTTTTACAAATGAATATAGATTATAAAAAATTTTTCATTAGTGGTCGACCATGTTATTATGGTGAAACTCCATTAGCATTTGCTTGTTGTACAAATCAATGGAATATAGCAGAAATTTTACTTAAATATGGTGCTTCTATGGATGCGGTTTGTTATATTTATATTATTATTATTTGCTTTTTCTAAATATATAAATCACATAGGTTGACTCAAACGGAAACAATGTATTACATTTACTTGTGATTCATAATTTACCTGAAATGTATACTACATTTAAACAACGTTGGTTAGAAGAACAAGGACCAGAAAATGAATCAAATGTTGATGATGATGATGATGATGATGAATATTTTCAATCAGAGAAAAAACGTATTACACCATTATGGAAACGTTTAAATAAAGATGGTTATACACCATTAACATTAGCTGCTAAATTAGGACAAGCTGATATGTTTTCATTTTTACTTGAAGAACGTAAAATAACTCAATGGAGTTTTGGACCTGTTGCATGTGTACTTTATCCACTTGATCAAGTCGATTTAGATTTTCGAGAAGATGTAAAAAAATATTAATAAAAAAAAAAACAATATTTTTCTGTTTTTTTTTTGTTTTTCTATTATTTTAGAATCTTGAAACACCACCTTGTGCACTTGAATTAATTGTACAAAATGCTCATGTTGAACTTATTATGCATCCACGTATGATTGATTTAATTAATAAAAAATGGGAACGTTTTGCAAGAAGAATTTTTTTTAATCGATTTCTTATTACACTTTGCTATATGTTAATCTTTCTTGTTACAACTATACTTGATCAAACACGAACAGAAGTGGTAATACATATATACCCTTTTTTTTTCTTTTACTATAGTAATTCGAGTAGTGTCACATATCGAAAATTTTAGAGATGCGCCCATATCTCTCGCAGGAGTTGCCGCATCTCCCGTGCTAGACGTGGATGCATCTCCAAAATTTTGGATATGTGACATTGCTGAAAAGTTATTTATATGTAATAAATTTTTGTTTATTTTGTAGACTGAAGGTGAAGGTGATGAAGAAGTAACAATAAGTGTTGAACCACCAGGATTGATTTGTCAAACATTATGTACTATAGGTCGTTTATTAGTTTTAGCAGGAGCTATATGGAAAGGTAAATCTGAATTTCGAGAAATAAATAATATTGGTATACGAAAATATTTTCAAACAGCGGTAAAATAAATTTCTATATAAATATATATATATATATTATTGAATATTAAATATAAATAGGGTTCTGGTTTTCTTGAAAATTGTTTAGCATGTTTATTTTGTACAACTATTTATATTGTTAATATTTTTCGATTATTAAATATAAATGCAGAATTACCAGCATTAGCAATAGCATCATTACTTGGTTGGGGTTATATGCTTTTTTTTGTTATGGCATTTCGATTAACTGGTCCATTTGTTGTGATGATATATGAAATGCTATTAAATGATGTTCTTCGATTTTGTATTATTTATGTTGTATTTCTTGTAGGATTTTCACAAACATTTTTCATTTTATTTAATTATAATGGTAAGAAGAAAATAACAATAAGAAAAAATTTTAATTTTTTTTTTGTCTTGTATTATTTTAGGTTTTCTTGGTTTTGTTATTAGTGTTAAACAATGTTTTTTAGGCATGTTAGGAGATTTTGATCTTGATGCTTATACAAGTACAGAATATGCATATATAAATGTATTAATTCTTATTTTTTATATAATTGTTGTAACAATTTTATTACTTAATTTACTTGTTGCTATGATGGGTGATACATATGGAAATATTATTGAAGATGCAACACAAGTATGGTTAGTAAAAGAAAAAAAAAACAAATTTGAATTTTTATTATAAAATTTTATTTTTTAATAAATAGGCATTTAGAACGAGCACGTATTGTATTTGCAATTGAAAATGAAATGGATACTGAACAACGAATTTTACCAATAAATAAATATTGGACTAATATTGATGGTGAACGATATTTACAAGTAGAAGAAGTTAATGAAAAAGATTTTCTTACGCAAAATACTAATGTTGAATCTAGTGTTAATAATGATCAAACAAATTTGAAGAAACAATATTCTAATGGAAGTTCAACTGAATTCTAAGAAACTTTGATTTTTTTTTTTTGTTAGTTTTCAGTGAACAAAGATAAATTTGAATAGTGAATTATTGTATTAAGTTTATAGATAAAATAGCATGATAATCAAAAATTTTGAATATCTTTTTTTTTTAAACTAGAAACTATCATATTGCTAGATTTCAAAAGTTTTACTTATTAATCGGTAAATACTTTTTCAATATTTAATAAATGATTAATTTGCTAATAAAACATATAATAGAATTTATAGAAAGATTAAAAAATAGTACCCGAAAAAAAAATTGAATCATACAAACTAGAAATGATTGTTCTAAGTTACATCAATACAAAGAAAGATGATTCATGGTATTTTCCTACGCTTTTATATAAGGACAAAATGCAATGAATAATAACGTGATTACGGCTTTTACCTTTCCTTTTTTTTTTTTTCTTCTGTCGTAAGAAGATATTTATTTGCTATGACATCACGGTAAGCAAATATACATCGATACTTTTTACATTACAATACCTTAGATTTAATAGAGCTATAATGAGTGTTAACAAGTTTGATAATAATAAATCTTCAAAGGCAAATAACTGGTCATGTCGATTTTGTACGTATCTTAATCCAGTTTCAAAGTATCCCAGATGTACAATATGTGGTCAATCAGATTCTTCATTAGCTAAATATAACTTTATTAATGATTCATCGGTAATATAATTATTATTAAAAAATAAAATATCAATTGATTTTTTATTTTTATTAAGAGTTTGATTAATACATCTAAATCATCAGCAACATCAATTTCACTTACTGTTCGTGATCGACGAAATAATGATGAAAGTAATGCTGAAAAAATTTTTCATCATATTAAATCATTTTGTCAAAAAGTAATTTTAATCTATTATTTATTTTATTTGTTTAATATTTATTTTCTATAGACTAAAATACATTTTGTTGATGATCAATTTCCTCCATCATCTCGTTCAATTGGTAATATTGATCAATCATTTCAATGGTTAAGAATATCTGATATAGCTTCGTCATCAAAAGGAGATCATCTTTTAAATTGGACTGTTTATTCATCACCAGAACCAAGTGATATTCAACAAGGTCTACTTGGTGATTGTTGGTTATTAGCTGCTTTAGCTTTAATTACTGAACGACCTAAAATGCTTCAACATATTGTATTAACTAAAACAGTTAATGAACAAGGTGTTTATCTCATACGTTTATGTCATCATGGTTTATGGAAAACAATTATAATTGATGATTGTTTTCCATGTGCACAAGACAATCAACTAGCATATTCAAAAGCAAGTGGTCGTCAATTATATGTTCCATTAATTGAAAAAGCATGTGCTAAATTATTTGGTTCATATGCAGATTTAATTGGTGGACATACCGAAGAAGGTCTACAATTATTAACTGGTGCTCCAAGTATTCGTATCAATCTTAATCCACATGATTGTATACTTGATAGTCAAATTGCTTGGGCAAAACTTTTATCTGCTTGTGAAGCTCGGTAAGTTAAATATGTCTAAAATGAATCTGTTGCTTTTTAAAAACAAAAAAAAACAATTTATTTTAGTTTATTAATCGGTGCAGCAACTGGTCGTACAGATGTCAATGAAGAAGAATATGAACGTGTACATATTAATAGGAATCATGCATTTTCAATACTTGCTGCATATTTTCTATCAGAAATTTCTATGCAATTTGTACTTGTTCGAGATCCACATGCTCGAGTAGATTATAAAGAAGATATCATAACATCATCTATTCTTACTCAATTGAATTCTATGATTTCATTTCATTTACCATCTGGTGCATTTTGGATATCATGGCCTGTATTTCTTCAATTTTTTGAATCTATTACAATATCATCATATGCTAGTGATTATTATGATATACGTGAAGTAGCTAAATTTACTCAATCATCAATAGAACCAATTCCAACATTTCATTTTCATGTATCTAAGTAAGATTTATTATTAATATACGATTGAAATTAGAGACACTTAAAATTTGATAGAGATTGTATATCACAACGAAACTTAATACTTAAATATTTGAATGGTATCATAAGAGACTTCGATTAAATGAAGTTTCAAAACAAAAAATATACTGGATTCTGCATAATCTCATATGTATACAATTCAGTTGTATCATAAGATATGTAAAATTTCATGATACATTCCATTAAATCTTTCATATATTATTATCTAAAACAAGTTTATTTTCGAAGTTAAAAAGAAAAACAGATTCAGTAAACATAATGATAGTAGATATTTTCCAGATTAGTCATTACATATATTACCGTCAGTTACTGTCACGGAATGACCAAGTTTCACTCTGTATTGTTTTCATTCCAGTATATTTTTCTTTCACAACGCGTTTACTTTTACCTCTCGTTTCTTTCATGTGCTTTTACTCACATAGATTTTTTATTTTGTTCTTATCAGCCTTGTTGAATGTTTCCAATCTTGTTTATCATCATAATTTAAAGTACTACAGCAATTTCTTTGATTATTTTCGTTTTTTAGAACATCAATAGTGGATATTAGTCTACTTTATCATCGTGAAAAACGTCGCTCTGATGATCGTCATACACAATCATTTGTTTTATGTGATGTTAAAGATGGAGTATCCACATATATTGGTACAAAATTTGCTATATTACAAACACATCGTGGAACATTTACACATTGGACAGGTTCATTAAGTCCTGGTACTTATGTACTTATTCCATTTTCTACTAGTTTTTGGGATGAAAAAAATCATGAATCTATTAGAGATTATACACTTGTTATACATTCAAAAATTCAAATTGATGTATATGTTATTAATGAACCAGCAACACTTTTAGCTGATTGTTTAATTGCAACTGTTCCACAAGAAAGTTATATTAAAAATAAAGTAAGTTAATTATATTTTTGAAAAAAATTATTATGATTTATTTTTATTTTTCATTTATTTTCTTTTAGCATAACGATTTTAATTATTATGCAACTTCAGGACAATGTAGTTTTATTATGTTTATTGCAGAAAATTTATCATCTAATTATTATTTAAATATAGATATTGATATGAGTGATTCAGTGTATATACGTAATTCTCGTCAATCATATATAACTCATGATTGTATTCCACCACATCAAAAACAAATTATATTTCTTGTTGAATGGACTAATAAACGTGATCAAATAGCTAACATGAGTTATGTGTATCAAACATCTTTTATAAAACAATCAAACGATTCAGTACCAACAATTAATATTGATCAAAATGATTTTCATTCATTTCGAAACTTTTAATTTAAAAGCAGACAAAGAAAAACTATTTTCACATTGTATGTGCACTACTTTATTGTATCAATAGTTTCTTTATTTACAATAAGTAAGAAGTTGTAAATAGTCAATTAATAAACGATAAATAAATTTCGCTATGTAATAAAATATTGCGTTTGACTATGAAGTTTTCATAAAAATCTGATGAATACACAAGGCATACTAAAAGTAGCAGTAGACATATTTTGGAGTGGATGCAAGTGTAAGTCTTCTCTTATCTCACGCCCAATGTATGTAACTTCTCTTCAAGTGAAAATTTTCTTAATTTGGTGCGTAAAGAGCACACTTGTTAAATTTGGGTGTGGGTGTGGGTGTGCTTTCACAGAAGAGCCGCACTAACCGAGCACGGACAGTACCACTCATCATCACTGTACATGAGTGCAAAATCTCGAATTCTCGTTTTTTTTTTTGACCGAGTACATGGCGATACATGACAGTACATTTCTATACAAATTCTCAAATTCTAAGTTGGGAGCCCGTATTCTTCGCAGAGTACAGTTTATACTTGTATTCGCGCAGTCCTCCCAACGATTTTCGACTGCTACTGGATTATCATGAATCCTACTTTTAAACGCTCTTTAACTCGGTACAAAATCTCTTATGAATTCTATTTGAAATCACAGCATTACCACTGCTGGAAAAACAGCTTTACGTAACTCATATATCGCTATTTTGAACTATTCCGTTTACAACGAACGAGTGTAAATCAATGATAAAACATACACTAAATGTTGATTGATTACTAATTATCTTTTATTGTTAAGAGATTGACAATCAGAAAAGTTCTATAAGTGATTTCTAATAAAATCAGTCCTAATAGTACGATTCTTTTGAAAATTGAAGCAGTTTTGTAATTAATCTTTTTGTCGGACACATTAGAAAATGGCAATTAATTTTTGTATTACAATTTATGATGCCATAGGCTTCGCCACAGAAGACAACAAATATAGAAATGAAAGTATGAAACAATTTGATAGATAAAAGGTTTCTTTCTTTACAATTAGACGTGAAGATTAAATTGTTTTCAGATCAAATGATGTGATCAGAAGTCGAACTATCGTGGAAATTTTCTACTTGACACTATTTCACTAATATTTGGAACTTTATTCATCACTTTCGTCCATATTTCTGTTTTCAATAACTGAACTACAGTTTTCCGACTACTGACATTAATAAAATACTCAAAAACCTTGAATTTCATCATAATTATTTTGATGTCGTTACTCATTTTAATATTTCAATATAAAATTATATTTATTTCGCAAGTCTTTCTTCAGATAAGAAAAAAGTGTAACAGAGAAAAATTCACAACCTTCTACAGGAAAAATACCCACATCTAGTTCAGTGCATTTTTCTGAATATCAAATGCTGCTTAGTAAATAATAATTATTATAGTTCGAGTCGCGTACAGTGTCTTCAATCGAAAACATTTGAAAAATCACATTACAGAAAAACCTCATATAGCACCCAATATGTCTTCTATAGCCCCAGCGGCAATTTCAACTAAAGCAGTACCGTCGATATTAGCTAATATACCTTCAACGTTATTTCCCACAATGTTTTCCGCAGCAGGAAGTATTCCTACATTGCCACCAGCTGGACCCAAAAGTTTACCAGCAACTATTCCTGGCAAGACACAAAGTACGCCCCTTTATCCAACTGCCTACTATTCCTGGTATGACTTGCAACAGATACCCAAGCCCAGCGCCACGTCTTCCTTCAACACAAGGTTGGACAACTTGTCTAGTCCTACCACCTAAAACTACAATCAAGAGAACAAAATCATTTGGAGGCATTTTACTACGGCCAACTGTAGCTTGACCCCGGTATCACCGGTGATTAGTAACATTAATATTGGTCCTTGGAGTCTCTAGAAGTGAAAATATTCAATAAACAATCTTATTATGCATTTCAGAATGTTTTAAATAGATTAAAATCCTTTGGTCTATGTAAAAAAAAAGAAACACATCCCTCTAGATTCCTTCTATTATGAGTGATTGGTACATAAATGTAAGCTATTCGTTTACATAGATTATTGATCTGTATATAATGTTGAATAAAACTCCTTGACCGAATCTTCTCCAGGTACTAGTCCATAAGAAAAATCTCAACAAATGTATTTTTTTTTCTAAAGTCAGTCATAGTTGTCAATATTTCGACACAAAAAAATACAATTATGAATGTTAAATTATGCTTCGGGCTGAATCCATAGTATTACAAAGTTACTAATTTTTATTTGTACAAAAATTTTTCAAACCCGTATTCCAACAAAAACTTTCACCTACGTACGAAGTTAGAATCAAATGTATCCATATATAGCAGAATAGAAAAACATACAAACTTCTATTTCAACACTTAATATTTTTTCGAACTTCACTGATGAAAAATTTTGCAAAAGCTTTGAAGATTCCAGAGAAAATAGCAGAAGCAGGAATGTTCAAAATTAAATCAGATAAATCCGAAAAAATATTAGAAAAATTTGTAGAAAAAAACGTTGATATAGTCTACAAAATTTTTGGAGTTATTTGACTTCATATAGGAAGTGATAAACACCATAGAAATGCAAAATAATTGTGTAAAATCTGTAAATATCTTCGAATAGACTTTAGATTATGAAAACTTCGAAGTCCATTATATTCTTCTTATCCATGGACATAGTTCATACATATCCACTTAGCTCAAAAAAGAAACAGGCAACTAAACAAATGCTATGTATATAATAAATGTCTCAAATATATCTATATGTAAAGATGTTACATTAGAATGTCTATTTGCCAGAATAAAATAAAAAGTTCATTTCAATAGCAACGAACCTGTTGTCGTTCACTAAATGAAGGTATGGTCTAATGTAAATCGTCGAATTAATTTCTCGAACACTAAGTCATTTACTGATGAATAAGTAAATGAATAAAACAAAAGTAGGCGTATGGATAGTTTGTTGTTGTAAGAATGTCTTTCCTATTTTGACCTCACGTCGTTACAGATTGAGTTACATGACGCGTTTTACGATTTGAGCCATGTCAATTTCAGTGATGATTACGCCGAACGGCATCAAAATCAAAAGAGTGTGAAGCTTCGTACGAATGCATATTGTTACTCGGGAAATATTGATGACTCATAACAAGATGTGATCGTGTAGATTCCAATAAGTGATTGTCATACAATGCATTTCTTGATTGGCTATGATGAACTACATGATATTTATACTCGTCATTTGCAGGGCACAGAACTTTAGCAATCAGTGACGTTCGTAAAAACTGTATGTTTCAAAGACTACCTGTATATGTATACAAAATGTTTATGAATATGTGTTCTTTTTTTACTTCGGATGACTCAAAATTAATTTTAAATAGGACAAAAGGTAATAAGCAGCGATGCGGAAGTTGATAAAAAAATAAGCACATGATGACCCAAGCAACCAACTAAAGAGACAGCGCCAATCATAACTCCAACACATCCTTCCACTTTTTCACTTTTCAATATTGCCACTTTCATATGCGTAGCATAGATATTTTGTCCATGGAAAAAACAAAATGTTTTCTACGATTATATTAAATGAAAGAAAACGGACAGGAATAAAATCAAAAAGAAAAAGAATATAAGACTTAGGTTTGATTGTATCAATGCATTGAAAAAAACTAATTGACCACATTAGCCACTCGCATTCAATGTTCAATCACATATACTTGTACATACTGCAGATACATGTGATACTATCTTGAGGTCTTAATGTTCAAATACTTTCTCCATCATCTTCTTCATATAGGCCTTGAATATAAGCTGTGAAATTTTAGTTTCTACGTCATATTAATTTTTTAGTTTACAGAGATGAAACTTATTTACTAATAGTCATACATAGGCGTGGAATTAGTAGTTTCTACATCAAATGTTTGCAAATTATCCTTGACATAATTATAATTGATAGAATGATTGATCAATAGGTATCAGAGTTCATTGTCAAAACAAAAATAGAAAATATTATTCAAAGTAATTTTTTCTGATTTCTTAAGAGTTTCAATCTAGAAACATGTTTGTTTCTTCTTATTGAAGATTGTGTTTCAATAGTTTTTGTACATTCAATTTTTAATTTTTATATTCAATAATCATGTTTCGTCAATGACATAGTCTCTAATTGACACTAATTAACTTAAAATCAAGTATCATATTTTTGCAAATGATTGTTTTTTTTCTTGTCATTTTTCAGTTGATCATAATGATAATTGGACTTAGGTAAAAAACAAAAAGTGAATTTATATTAGTATCACCATTTTGTCAGCCTACCATAATAATTACAAACAGGAGCAGAACATAAAGTGTTTACTTCTTGTGTGTAAAACATACTACATGTTATTTTACATTATATAGCATATAATGAAAATATCATTGTTGACAAAATTTCACTGACAAAGACCAAAATCGAATAGAATAATTGAATCGAAATCGTTTGATCTCATTTGAATATTACTTGGAATTTCTAGAATTTATGTTGAACAAAATTTGATTTGATCCTTAGCAGCATACGAAAAAAAAAGAGACATTCTTTCTTGATAAGATTTTGTGAGCTTTGAAATCAATTTTTTTTATCACAATTTATGGTATAAACAAAAAGAACTCTAATGAAATATTCTAAAGATTTGTTAGTTGACTACTAATAATAATGGTATCGTTTGTACACGAAAACCTTTTTTTTTATACAACTATCATGCTAAATTTTCAGTGTCAATTTATGAGAAATTTTTAATGAATTTTAAAATTATGGAACATGATTACGTTCTATACTTTCAAAAAAATACTTATCGTGAACTTGATTTTTAAAATGGACAGAAACTTTAAGCAAAAATCAAAAAAACATAAGCAAACTGTTGTAAATTGATAGTGAAAATTTAGTATGACAGTTGTATCAAAAAGGTTTTCGTACATAAATATTCTCATCATTAATAATAGTCAACTTGAAAATCCTTAGAATATTTCATTAGAACTGTCTCGGTTTATATTATAAACGGTGATAGAAAAAGATTGATTGAAACATCAACAAAATATTATGCAGAAAATTGGTTTAAAAAAAAATGTATTTTTGAAAGTTACTCATTTTGAATAAGTTAATTTGTCTATACTTTAACGAATAATAAAATTGTCTTAAATTAAATGAATAGTACAGTTTTGTAGAAAATTCGATGAGAAATCTTTTAGGAAAAAAAATTTGTCCTGGTTATATTGAAATACTGCCCGAACAAATATTCTTTAGACGTCCACCCGTTATTTATGTATGAGATCAATTTTTCAAGGACAAAACTTCAAGAACATTTTTGACAGACTGAATATAGTTGATACTAATAATTACATCAATGTTCACGATCTCGAATCGTAATCATAGAAAAAGACAAAAAAAAAAAAAGTATTGATCTTATTGAATGGCTTCGCGATGTTCAAGTCAAAATGTAGATATTATATGAGATTATACAAGATAGAAGACTCATTACTGTCATTGAATTGTTTTACAAATGAGGAAAAAAAAACATATGCCTCCTACGCATTCATTTTGAAACAAAAAAAAGAAACCCGAGAAGAAAAATATGTTGCGTTAATTCAATCCTATATAAACTGTTTGATCAAACTCATTTGTTTTATTATCAGAAGAATCGTTCATACAAAAATATAAACTAATCTAACAATGTCATACAAATCATCTTATTTTCGATGTCTTGAAGTAAGTAAAACTAAAAATAAAAGTTAATTATAGACAAAAAAATGAAAATAAAATTATAATTCATTATTAGCATCGATTATCAACATTACATGAAGATATGGATGATCAAGAAGCAGTTAATATTATTAATCATGACATACCACTAGAAAAATTACAATCACTTGTTCAACGAGGAAATACAACATCATTTATATTTTCAATTAAAAATCGAGTCGGTGGTCTAGCAAGAGCTCTTAAAGTTTTTCAAGTATGTTTTTCATCCATGTTTTAAAAAAATACTTTTTTCTTTCTATTAAACGTCTAAGATTAATATAAATATATATATATAGTAGTCGCAAAAAAAAAGTTCCACTACATGCGAATCTTGATTTTATTAAAAAGAAAATAGAGATAAACGCATTTGAATAGTAGCAGAAAACATTCAAAAATGAGCTGATGCGATCTCTAATGGACAACATTTCAGGTTAAAATTTCATTGTTGAACTTCTCTATAAATACCATTGCCAGAGGTCGAAAAAAACAGTAAAACGGTCGTAACTCCGGAAGGACAGCACATAGGAACAAATGCTTCCGGGCTTCTACTAGTCTCATCGAGTCTTATTTATGAGCAAAATAAGAGCTCGATCTACAATTAACATTTGGAGAGGTTCTCTCGTTATATACTATATAAAAATGATTTTTCAATCAAAATATATCTGAATAATACGAAAGAAAATACCTTACATTGTCAGCAGAAACAGTTACATAACCAATCATAAAGGTTAGGATAATTCATACGTGTCCTACTTTATTAAACTAGTTTACTCTATTGCCACATTCTCTAGATGTGAGGGTGTAGGTACAGAGAATACTCATATCCATCCCCATATTATGTTAAAATATAATTCGAGTATAATGTAAAGTTCTTTTTTAATAAATTGATAACTGATTAAAGTAAAATACTGTATATAAAAAAAAACCTAGCTATCTTGCCGATCTCTATCCAACGAGATTATTTACACTCTAAAATAGCACTGAATACTCAAAAATATTTTTAGATTATTCATTGAAAATAAGCATTCATTATTAAAACATATAGAGAAAGAGAGCCAAAAGATAAGAAAACAAGGCTAGTTCATGCCTATCATATCTATTTTTTATGATGGACATCTGTCATAATTATAGAAAAATATTGTCAACAAGACTTCACATCAGAGTTTGATGGTTCGAGTTCGTTTGCCATAATATCATGTATGATCCAAAAACCATTAAATCATCAGATAGATACGAAAATTTTTTTACTAGTGACTTGTTGAGATTAAAGATACTATATATTTCAATACATGTTTATGTTCGATATTTTTTTTTGCTGCTTCTATAAGCGTTAGAAAGTATCCAAATGGTTTCCGACAAGCATATGACTCCAAAAAACTTCAAAGACTAATTTTTCAATATCTAGAACATTTAAATATAACTTTGTTTAGACTACATACATCGATTGAGTAAATAATTGTCAACAAGATGAGAGATGTCTGAGTTCCCTGTGGGTGTGGGTGTGTGGGTGTGTGGGTGTGAGTGTGTGGATGTGGATGTGGGTGTGTGGGTGTGGGAGTGCGGGTGTGGGGGGTGGGTGTGGGTGTGAGTGTGGATGTGGGTGTGAGTATGGGTGTGGGTGTAGGTGTGGGTGTGGGTGTGAGTGTGGGGTGTGGGTGTGGGTGTGGGTGTGGGGTGTGGGTGTGGGTGCAGGTGGGTGTAAGTATGGGTGGGCATAATTTGAACATCACTTCACAAACACCCATACACCCACACCCACACAGACAGGGCTCTGGACCCATCACAGACAGTGACAGACAGGCTTTGGACCCATCACAGACCGCGACAGAGAAACTGTAGTTCTAAAGCATCAGATAAACGGTTAGCTGCAAATGTGTTGCAAAGAAATGGAACAAAACGATTTCCATTTAATTGGTAACAACAGATCCATCGTGTTTCACATTTTTAATCCCGCAAGGGATTGCGCTAACAGCTTTTTTAGCTGAGATACAGCAATGAATTTTTTTTGACTTCTGTCGACACTCTACTTTTTCGACCTTCAATTCAATTGCTGTATCTCGACTAAAAATAAATGTCACAGAGAACGCAAACACTCTTCATTTTCTAGACAATTTTTACTCTATCGATCTATATAGTCTAAATAAAGTTATATTTATGTCTTTGCATTAACTTTGGAAAAGATATTTGCTATTTGGAAATTTCTTTTTTTTTGACATCAATAACAGCAAAAAAAAATGAAAATAAATTTCATTGAATAATTTAAGTATTCACTATAACTTAAATATTTAATCTTAAGAATGACAAAAAATGAAGACTTTTGAACATAGATTTAAGAATATTTATCTCTATTCTAATGATTTAACTGAGATCAATTTTTTTGTAATCATCGAAGCACGAAAGAATTTCGTTTCATTTTGCATGTTTTGTTTTGTTTTTTTTTTGTACTTACTTTCAACATGCAAGAAAAATTAATTACATACTTAAGATCAAGGCACAAAATTTTTGCGTCGTAAAATCGTTATATCTTTTTTTTTTGCGTTTGTAAGTTATTTAAAAATAACGAAAGTTGAAGAAAAAAAACAATAAACAACTGTAGCTCATAAACTATGCTAGTACTCAAAGGCCTCATTCTATAAAAAGTTTTGTATTGCTTTACAATTATTTGTACTCCTTATCCTATAATTTTCTTTTACATTTCAATGTTTTGATCTTAAATAAATATAATTTGTTTTTTTTGTGTTTTATTTTAAAATAATCAAAAACAAAAAAGGAAAATGGTATCAATGTTGTTCATATTGAATCTCGTCGTTCACGTCGTACAAATTCTGAATATGAAATTTATGTTGATTTAGAAGCTGATCGTAGTCGTATTAATGAATCTATGCAACAATTAAAACGTCAAGTATCATGTGTTCGAATTGATTTAAATAATTTAACTGAAAATATAAATCAAAATAATGATGATGTTTTTATTAATAATAATAATATTTCAAATGGTAATGGAGATCTTGAACTACATCCATCATCACCTTTTCTTGATAAAAATGGTGACCCAATAAAACGTCAAAGTAAGTTGAATGTGGAAAATAAAAACTAATTAAAAAAAAAACTAAGAGAGTATGCATCAGATGTGTTATATTACGTTCTTTTGAGTTGAATCGAAAAAAAATAAAAAAGGATACTTGGAACTATTTTTAAAAGAGCATAGTCCATTTGATACTATTTCTGTGTCAAATTTTGTATTATACTAGAGTAATCTATTTATATATAAACAAATATTAATTACTTTTAATATTATATAAATACAAAATTATTAATCTATTTTTTATTTACATATAATTTTAATCGTATAAATAAAAATATAGAAAAAAACATATATATATAAATAGTTTTGTATTTATTCTAAATAATATATAATCACGCAGACAATGCATGGAAGATATATGATCAAACATATATATATATATATATTTTATTATTATGTGCTTTTCACATTTTCGATTGATATTCATTAGAATGAATATAACAATCAATATTAATTTTCAATAAATTTTTTTTTTTCTACTTATTAAATGACGTCGTTAAGACACTAGTATTGCCTATATAAGATCTGAGAAAAATTTGTATTGATTGTATTATTATTTTTGTGATGTTCACAAAAAATAGGAATACTAATATGGAACTTGATAAAGATAATTTACAAGATCCATTAGAATTACCTTCATCAAATTTAAAATCTGCTTTTAATCGACAATTGTATATATCACCAAATACAGATATTTCATTATCTATACTTTGTTATGATGGAGTTTTATGTTATTTATCAAATATTATGGGTCAAGGTTCATTATTTGAAATTGAAGATAATTTAAAAAGATATTTTTCATTAGAAGATATTAATCAAGCATATTTTAATTTACAAAATTGTTTAAATTATTGTTTATCAACATTAGATTCTACTAAAGATAATTTTATTTATAATATTTTACAACAATGTTCAATTGATTTAATTAATTCATCATCATCATTATTATTAGTTATGGAAACTATATATAAAAATCATTTATTTTCATATTTACCATTATTTGTTTCAAATGATTGGCTTCATATGATACGTAGTGTACAAAATATTGAACAACTTGATATGGCATCAACATCTATAATTGATCTTCAACGACAATTATCAAATTTAAAAGATCATTTAACACCATTACAAGAATTTGTTAGTGATATTGATGATAATTCATCAATAATACAATCATTACCATCAACACCAAATAATCAATGTTGTTTACGTACATATTGTAATCATAATACATCAATATTTCATTCAACAACATCTACTGATTCACGATCATCATCATGGGCTTCATTAAATATTGAAACTAATCCAATGACAACTATAACTGGTTTTATTCGAAATCCAGTAACAAATTTTATGATGCCAACAACATCATCTATATCCGATCAAGAATCATCAATACATTCAATAGATAGTAATATAAGTAGTGAGGATGATCAAGAACCATTATCAAAATTTTTCAATCGAAGTTTATCTTATCAATCATCAATACAAAAAACAGGTTCAATACTTGTTAAACGTGATGATACTTTATGGGTATATCCAGCTGCTGTTATACAACCTAAAATAAATAGACTTTTTTCATCTGTTCATGAAGATACAGATGAATATGAAGTTCATCCAACGCGTTTACGTTCGAATAGTTGTGATACTGATTTTCGTAATAAAAAAATATTAGATCAATTATTGAATAGAAAACTTAGAAAACCGAAAAAGTTTTTGATCAAATCAACAAAAGGTTTGGCAAAAAAAAGATTATAAAAATTTCGTTTTTTTTTTGGTTAAATAGAAATTAGCATATTTTTAAGTCATATCAATCATTTGATTACTTCTGTTTTTTTTTTTGTTATTTTAGTTGAAGCTGACGAAACACCTTGGTTTCCACGTCGAATCAATGATCTAGATCAATGTTCAAATAAAGTTCTTTTATATGGAGCAGATCTTGATGCTGATCATCCAGTATGTATTGAAAAATAGTTATTTGAAATATTGAATATTATCAAAATTCAGAAGAAAAAAATGAATTCGATCGTCAAACTAACAAAAAAAAACTTTTTTTAATACTTTGATAATATTACGAAAATTTTAATTAAATCAAATAATATATCCGAGTAGAGCATATTCAATGCTTAATAATATTTGTTTGCAAAAAAAAAAAAAGAAAATTATTTGTGAATATTTTATTTTCTAGGGTTTTACAGATAAAGTTTATCGAGCTCGTCGTATGTATTTTCATGATTTGGCTATAGCATATAAACAGTATGTGTTATATAGGTTTTGTTTTTTTAATAACTAATGATTGATATATAATTTTATTTTTTTAGTGGAGATCCAATTCCACGTGTAGAATATACAAAAGAAGAAACTGAAACATGGTAAAAATTATTTTAAATTAAATCATATATGTTAGGTTTTTTTTTAATATGAATATATAGGGGTGCAGTATTTCGAAATTTAAATAAATTATATCCAACACATGCTTGTAATGAATATTTGGCTAATTGGCCATTATTAAGAGAAAAATGTGGTTTTCGGTAGATAAATAATTCTTAATTAATGAAATTAAATTATCTTTTTTTATATTTTAGTGAAGATAATATTCCACAATTAGAAGATATATCACGTTTTCTTCGTGAACGTACAGGTTTTACATTACGTCCTGTTGCTGGTTATTTATCACCAAGAGATTTTTTATATGGTCTAGCATTTCGTGTATTTCATTGTACACAATATATTCGACATTCATCAAATCCATCATATACACCTGAACCGTAAGTTTTTTTTAGATGAAATTCAAAATAAAAATTGTTGGTCTTTTTGTTTATTATTTAAAATAAAAATAGAGATTGTTGTCATGAATTATTTGGCCATGTTCCACTCTTAGCTGATCCTAATTTTGCTCAATTTTCACATGAAATTGGTTTAGCTGCCATTGGCGCTTCAGAAGAGGATGTCAATCGATTGGCCACGGTAAGATAGACAATTTCCTCTTCAAAGTACAGCAATGTAAAGAAATTCGGATCGTAAGAAATATGCGGCATACTAGAATATATGAAATTCGTAATTATCCTTTATTACTGATGAATTAGCTGGAAAATGCAATCCATCATTTGAGTTTATATTGAAGCCAGGAGAAAATCTTGACAAGTTTTTAGGTATAAATGTTCAATTGTCGAGATATTGAACACCCTAGAGACTGAATGCGTTAAGGAATTTTGGCCCGTGTCATTGAATTGAGTTGATTGACCTCTGAAATACAAAAAAAAACTAATTTTATTTAATTAGTTGCTAAGTATTATAATCTTAGGCGGAACGTCATAATGGGTGTGATCAATAAAAGGAAGGCTCGAACTCACACAGCCACACCTCCATTCACATACACCGCACCCATAGACCACACCCACACGCCACACCTATATACCACACGTCATAGCCACACCCCTTATGACGCTCTACTCAGCGCTATAATAACTAGCAACTAAGTAAAAAACTTAGGAAATTCCGCTGGACCAAAATTCTGGTATTCCAGCTTAGTATTAGATCGCAATGTTTTGATTTAATTTTTCAGTAAAAAGCGATCATAGTTCAAGTTCATTGGCATGAACCCTTATGAGCGTTTTTTTTTAGTCTCACCAAAGTTTTCTTGTTGATCTAATATGAGCTCAAATGACCAGTTACAGTTCTTCTGCAACTATTTAGTAATTTCATCATGAAGATATGATGAGGCTAGTGGTCTCTCTGCTTCAAGCGATTTTCTCAGATAAGGACTAAACGTGAATAATTAATTAATTAATGACAATTTTAGAAAGCATTTCTCAAACAACTTCTTTTCTTCTTCTATGAAGATTTCTGAACAATACAATAGACTATTAATAACGATAGGACTGATGATTAGTTATCGATATCAAGTATACATAACATGGAGGGAATCAATAGATTATGATAACTTATGAACTTCATCAGTAGACATAGTAGCACTGTCCTTCTAAAGATTATGATCATCCTCCTGAAGTTTATCATTCTTATACCATGTACTATGTATCTATGCTCCCAAAAAATAGATTTTCGTTTCTCTGACGGAGAAAATCTGATTATAATTCTGTTTGTAATGATGTAGAAATCAATAAGAGCAGGCTGATGAAGTTTCCATCTAACATCATAGTGTTACATGCGAATGATTATACTGAAATTTTTTTTTTATTATTATTATTCACTATTCAAGTAAATGAGAAACATAAGAATTACTATTTTTTCTAGTGTTATTTTTTTACAATTGAATTTGGTCTATGTCGTCAAAATGATGGTCTTCGTGCATATGGTGCTGGTTTACTTTCATCATGTGCTGAATTGCAACATGCATTAAGTGATCAAGCAAAAAAACTTCCATTTGATCCTGATGTTGTATGTAAAACAAAATGTTTAATAACAACATATCAAGATCAATATTTTGTTTCGGCTAGTTTTATTGATGCAAAAGAAAAAATGAGGTAAAGACAAATAAACAAAAAAAAAAAATAAAACATTTTCATTATTATTCTAGGCAATTTGCTTTATCAATCAAACGTCCTTTTGCAGTACGTTATAATCCATATAATCAAAGTATTGAAATTGTTTCAAATACTCAACATGTTGCACAAATAATATCTGATCTTAAAGGTGACATGTGTATTATATTTGATGCATTAAAAAAGCTTGAAAATAGTATTACACATGACAAATAAAACAATATTCAATATGTATATAAATATTATAACCGTAATTTATTGTTAAAAACAAACAAAAAAAAGATACAAAAAAAAAACTAAATATCAAACAGAAAAAAAAAAAAAAAAAAAAAAAAATTTTTTTTTTTTGTTTTTGGATTTCAATGGTTTCGGTAGTTCATTTTTATTATTATTATTATGAAAAAAAAAAAAAAATATTATCGGTTTGTTTTTGTTTTTGTTTTTTTTTTTGGAAATTATACATCAAATGTCACACGTTCATCATTTTGGGTTATTAAATTAACTGGTTTTGAAAATGGATTTAACCAGGTTAAACCAACTTGAGAACCAAAGACTATTTTTAATGATGAAATAAATGAATTATGACGATGATTAACAGTTTTTTCACCTTTAAATGATTCAATACCCTTGAAAGAAAATAAAAATATAAAAGATTATTTAATATTTAAAATATACATACAGTTGTATCAGTATATATTGAATATAATTGTGTTCCAGTCATAATTGCAGTAAAAATTGAAAATGATATTGCTTCAAATGCAAGAAATATTAGAAAGATAATTGTTGCTGGTGGTGACCATGTTGTACATGCTAATTTTGTATGAATAAATAAAATAAGATTCAAAAAATAAATAAATAAATAATTTGTTAATAGTACTAACCATTCCAATCAGATTTAATACATGTTGTTATGTGAATACCAAGAAGAATAAGTGCATAGATCGAAATAACACAAGTATAAAACTAGAAGAAATATATAATAATATAGAGTATAATTATTTCTATAGTTAAGCCTCTCCGATGTGAATACCATCGAGACCGGCCAAAAGTATCCATTATTAGCTAGCTCATCAGATCCGTCCCGGTGTCCTACAATCGTCTGACGAGGGAATATTCCCAACTGTCACATCGCTTTTGAGTCGAGCGTATGGACATTATGTAGGCCCTAATGACCTATGAATGTCCTGAAAAAAGTTCGTGCTGCTAACTTCTTACTGCTGAGATACAGCATTTTTACTGTGTGTTTAAGGAAAAAGCCGTGGTCCCCCTCAGGAACATCAGGAAAAGTAACTTTTGAGTTTCCACCTGAAACTTTGCATGTAGACAGGCCTCAATGAGAATAGTTTATTGTGAAGGTTTCAGATTTTTTGGTTGCTCCTAGTCTGAGATAAGAACATCGGATCTGCTGGTGTATATGAACAATTTTACGATAGCTATATCTTAGGATAGGAACAGCGAAAAGAGCTGAAACTTTCACAATAAACTATTCTCATTGAGGCCTATATCTATGCAAAGTTTCAAGACGAAATTCAAAATTCAGTTTTCCGATGTTCCTGAGGGGGACCACAGCTTTTTTTTCTTACACATACATTAAAAACGCTGTATCTCGACAATAATAAGCTAGCAGCACGAACTTTTTTCAGAGAATTCATAGATCGTGAGGGTCTACATAATGCGCATACGTTCAGCTTAAAAGCGATGTGACAGTTGAGAATGCTACCTCGTGAGAAATCTTCAGAATGCGCTAGTCACTGAATAGAAAAAAAATATCTCATATAGAATCCCTCGGCCTTGAACAGATTTTTCTTAAAATTATCAGAATATGGTTCAATCAGCTTTGGGTTCACTGAGTTCTGGTCCACTCCCCCTTTTGCTACGTGTTCCATGATTGGTACCCTAAGGCAATACGCATCACATTAGTTTTTTTTAATATTCTACAGTTAAGTGATAGAACATATGTTGCTTACATTACAGAGGTTGTTATTGTTAATGAGAGTGAAAATAAATGTCCATTATTTAAAATAAGAAAGTGTGCATATAGAGAGGTTTGAATGTATGTCTAATAACAAAAATAATGATCGATACTAGTCATATTTTCAATCTTATGATTCATTGAAATCGTATAAAAAGAAGATAGATGTCTTTCTAAAAAAGGACTTATCAAACTGTTTTATTGAATATACGATTTTAAATATATAATTAATCATAGTAGAAAAAAATTTTTTTTTTTTTGTATTTTTATAATAGTTATATAATAATTTATTATGTTATCAGTACAAAGAATTATTCATAATTATTTTCAATTAAAAATGTTAAAGTACAATTAAACAAAATTCGAATTCAAAAACAATATTCCAAGACATATTTGATAATATTCGAAAGAACCTTCAGACTATATGACTAAACAAACACTATGCAGTTTCTTTTTTTATATTATTTTTCATGCTCGTTCTAATTAAAGAAAAACAAAGTGCAAGTTGTAAAATAAGTGAACTGTAGTACTTGACATTTCTTTTTTTTTGGTAACGTACATTCTATTAAGCCAATTCGGTAAAAGAAAACATACACTATACTACAAACAAAATGTAATAAATAAAGAAATTCGAGTATTTTATTCAGTAGGGATATAGCACTTCTATGAAAATCAGATTCATTCCAAGGGAAATTTCTATTTATTCTAACATGAACTATCTATCTATGTTTTTACACATAAATGTTTGTCTAAAGAAAATTATTTTCTTTTTCTATTTTAAATCTTACTGTAAATAAAATAAAATATTTTTGATTATTTTGTCCAACACAATTATTAACAAATACACAATGATGATCCATACGTTGTATACATCGTTTACAAACACTATTTAAATTTAAAATAAATTATAATGAAAATGTTTTTAAAAACAAAAAAAAAAACAAAAACAAAATCTTATTTTAGTACCTACAGTGATGCGCTCTTGGTGGTTTAACACTTTTACACATAGCACATCGATAAACAATAGTACCATTTGCATATTTTAATAAATTTTCTGGTGTTGCATTATCCAATGGAACAGCACCCTAAAGAAGACTTTTCTTTTTTTTTTTTTTATTATTATTTGAAAGAAATAAGTTTATCAAAAAAAAAAATAATTCATACTGGATTAGAAAACATTGTTCGACAATGTGATGAAATTGCAAGTATTTCTAATCCATGAAATATAAATAAATTAATTAAATTAAATAATGTTGAATGACTTTTAGGTATTAATATAACAAATATAATAACAAATTGTGCAAAAATAAATAAAAACCATGTTGTAAAACCACATGATAAACCATATGGATCTCTTATACACCAATCAGATACAGTTGGACAACATTCACAACGACAACATGAACATGAACATAAACAATCATCATCATCATAATCATTATTATATTGTTCATGATAATACATTGAACGTGGTACAACATCTTTAATAATTACACCTGTATCATCTGTTGTTGATGATGTATTAGTTGTTTGTGTTGACCAATCTGTATTTGTATCACATGTATAACGATGAATTTTAACAGCTGATGAACCAACTTCAATTTCATCATTAATATTATCATCATTTGAATGTATTGAAATAAGTTTAGTTAATGACATTTCAATGGGTTTAAAAAATGTATTAATGCCTTTATGTGTTATTTTCTTTTGACAATTCTTTCTTTTCCTTTTTTTTTTTTTTTTTTGTCTATGAAAATGATACTAGTGACATCATATTGATTGAAAAAAATAATGAATTATATAAATAAAGAATAAACTTTTTTTTGTAAATCAAACAAAAGTATTTTTTTTTGTTTGTAAATTAATATAAGAAATATATTCGAGGATAGTTGCTAAGAAACGAAATCAAGTATGGTTGATAGAATAATGAATCATTGATGACATCATACCTGTTGAAGTGTTTTTTTTTCTGTTATAACTTGTTGTAAACGTCACTCGATTTTTTTTCTTCTTCTTCTTTTCTTCCTGCTTCTCTCTTCTCTTCTCTTCTCTTCATTTTATAAAAATTATGGAATTCTAGGAAAAAAAAAAAGAACAAGAAGGAAGAGAAAATATTTTATCTTAATAGATTGTTTAGTAATGAGCGATATGAAAGAAAAGCAAAACAAAAAAAAAAACATAGAAATGTCTATTGATACTAAGTTAAAAACTAGTTGATTTGATCCATTTCTCTTTTATGAATTTATTAGAATGTTTTGTCAATATTTAATCAAAAGTATAAATATGAATGATATAGACGTGTATATACCTTTTATCATGAATTAATATTTTTTCTCATTGAGCTATTATCTCATATTCTCTTTTATCTCTCTATCATCTAAGATGTGTGCTAACATGAATTCATTTCTTTGTCTTCATATCTATTATTCTTATTTCTTTTTCTCAACTAGTTGGCATTAGTAAAGAATGCAGTAGCAGAAAATAGAAAGACATTGATGAAATATAGAATAAAAGAAATCGTTTCTTTTTCTTTTTTCTTTTTTTCTTGCTTTTTTCTTCTACAACAATTACCTTCTACTTCTTACTTATAAAAATACATTGAATAGATAATCTCGGATGTCATTCTGTATTTAGATTTATGTATATATAATATCAATAATCATAGATAATACAATGATAAATGGTGAACATGTACCCGGAGTGTGAGTTTATAGATTTCTAAACGAAACCAAAAACAAGAAATTATTTATTTATTTATTTTTGTTTTTGTATTACAGAATTCCTGAAGAAGATGATAATAAAGTACCGACATCTAAAAAATTTGATCAAAAAAGAATTAATCAAAAAGTAATGATAATGAAAAAACAAAAAAAATTTTTTTTTTTGTTTTACTTTTAGACAGAATTGACAAAACGTGCAGCTGATATACGTACAAAACGTACACCACTTCAAACAGATTCAACTAATCCGGATGATGTTGGTGGTAAGTTAAATCTCTAGTTAAGATATATATCTATTATTAGATTATTTCATATTGTATTTTTCTAAGGAAATTTTTTTTTTTTAATTTTCTTAGGATTTATTAATACTACATTTTATCCAGATATTGATGGATTTGGTTTATTGAATAACTCAAATAATTCAATGTTAATAACAAATCAACCATTTCATCCAATTCGTTGGAAAAATAATACGGTATTAATATTAATTATATTTTAGAATTTAACAAAAAAAAAACCAAGTACTAGTCATTCATGTTTTGTTTTTTGTATAATAGAAAGATAAATCAACTGTATCTCGTCCATCAACTGGTTCATCAATACAAACAAGAACAATAAATGCATCAAGAGGAACAATGCAACTTTTATCTGATGCTACTCTTACACATACTAATGATGATGATGGTGAAAGGAATGGTATGTTAAATAGAAAACGCAATCTTCTTTTTTTTTTTTTGTAATGCTTTGTATATTAATGAATATATGTTGTAAAGCAATAAGAAGACGAAGAAGGTTTCTCAAGTTTTTCGCTTTTATCTGTATGCACGTTCTTTTTTAAAAGAAAACAATTGCATAAAAAAGAAGTGTATAATGAGCACTAATGCACTACAAAACGAGTTCATTATCGTGATCATCATTATTATAAGAATAATGTTGTGTCAAAAAAAAAAATCTAAAAACACATTTTAATAATTTTTCTTCATCATTATTATTCAGATTCTGATGGTGATACTGAAATCACAGTTGTTAAACCTTTGACACCAACTTTTCATGATAATAATGGAACATTATCATCATTATTAACTGAATATAATAATAATAATAATGATAATAATTCAAATGATTCAACATTAACATTTGCATTACGTTCATTATTTGAAATGATTACAGAAGATTTAGATAAATTTGTTTATACACCAGCACCAAATGGTCTTGGTGATATTCAATGTCGTATAACACGTGATAAACGTGGAATGGAAAAAGGTCTTTTTCCAATTTATTATATGCATATTGAAAGACCTGGTGATGGTAAAAAAGTATGTTATTAAGATAAAAGAAAAATTTATAAAGATTAAACTTTTTTCTTTTTTTTAATTATTATTATTATTATTCAGTTTTTTATACTTGCTGGACGTAAACGTCGACGTAGTACAACATCAAATTATTTAATATCAACAGATCCAACTGATTTATCACGTGATGGAGAAAAATTTATAGGAAAATTAAGGTAAAACTATTCCTTGTTTTTTTTTGTCTTTTATTAATATAAAATATTTCAAAAAAAAAAAAAAATTTTTAGAGCAAATATGTTAGGAACAAATTTTACTGTTTATGATCAAGGTTCAAATCCAAAGAAAAATATGTAAATTTAATAGAAAAATATATATTTATAGAATAAATCTTTTTTTTTTTTTTTCTTAGTTCAACTGAACAACAAAGACAAGAATTAGCTGCAATTGCTTATGTAAAATTTTAATTTATTAAGAATTATAATTTTTTCAATTTTTTTTTTTGTATTAAAACATTAGGAAACAAATATATTAGGTTTTAAAGGTCCACGTCGTATGACAATTATTGTTCCTGGTATGAGTAGTGATCATCAACGTGTTGAAGTTCGACCAAAAACTGTAAGAATAAAAAATTTCTTAATTAATTATTATTTGTTTTTTTTAATGATAAAAAAAATCAGGATTCAGAAAGTTTAATTGAACGATGGAAACATAATGATATGAATAATCTACTTGAATTACATAATAAAACACCTGTTTGGAATGAAGGTAAATCGATAAAAAAAAAAAAATTATTTTCTTCAAAAAAAAAAAGAAATTCTCATTTTTGAAGAAACTCAATCATATGTTCTTAATTTTCATGGACGTGTTACTCAAGCATCAGTTAAAAATTTTCAAATTGTACATGATGATGATCGTAAGTAGATAAAGCTTTTAATACTATTCATTAGAGAATAAAAACAAAATGATGTATGATATAAACAATAACATGAAAATTGTTTTAGTCTATCTATTTTTGGAAAATATTTTTTCATCATTTCTTTACTGAAAATACCCTAGAAATGTAATAAGTAAATAATTCATATGTTATTGATATATGATTATATAAATCGTATATCTATTGAGGTCTTTGATTAAAGTCTGTTAGATCTATACGTCGATATTCTTAATAAAATATCCAAGTCCGGAATCAACATGATGAATTCTAATGTTTATGAGAGTTGATTCTATATTATACAAACTAATATTTTAAAAGATTTAATTAATTTTTTGGTTTTTCTTTTTTTGCTTTGTAGAAGATTATATATGTATGCAATTTGGTCGAGTTAGTGATGGTAAGTTTCATAAAGATATTCATTTCTATGATTCAATATGTAAACTATTACTAAATTAAGATGTTAAGTTTTTACTTTTGTTTAAAACTTATAAATTTAACTTGTTAAAAGATTTCTTTATATATTAAATTTCTATAACAATAATTTAACTAATATTTAAAAAAAAACTTTTAATTTTCATAGAACTATTATATTATATCAATATTGTAATTAACGATGTATTTGATTCACAAAAATAAAATCTATGTCAAAAAATCCTGATCAAATATATTAATTATTTCTAATAATAGAATGTTATGTTTAATATCCATAATGATGACAATCATTTAGTTTGACATAAAAAAAAAAAACACTTTGAATATGAATTATAACATTGTACTAAGTAACCATAAATGAAAGAAAACATATTATATAAAACTTGCAGGTAATCTATGACAGGAACATAACATTTCAATGTGTAAGTTGAGCTGGATAGACTATTTTATCTTTCAAAAGTATGATTCAGTACCTCGCGGAAGAGGTGAAATACATTAATTACTTTTCTTTTTTTGATTTCTTATATTTGCACTAAGAGAATGTTAAGGATAGATGATTATATAATTGCTTGTCAATGTTATATAGACTAGATGATATATATATATAGAAGTCGGATTTAATTTTTATAACATCTGCATTTATTGTTTCTTTAAATATCATCAAGTCTAATAATTCATGCATGCAACTTGACATTATATCTAGAAAAAAAACTGTCATAATCCTTTCGCATTGTAAAATATTATGTGACAATAAAAAAGAAAATATTCTAGTCATGTAAAATCATTATGACAATGTCAATTTTTTATAGAAACATCAAATAAATATAAAAACATTTACAATAATTACATATTAGAATTATTCTATTGAATGATTAATATTTCATATCAATAGTTAAATTTGACTTTCTTTTTTTGTTTTTCTTGACTTTGGACTTCTTTGATTAATTTATTAAGATTTTATTTAATGTTGTTTTTTTTTGTACTTAGCTTATGAATATAATATTCGGAAGTGCTGACATTATTAAAAAAAAAAATAACAAAGGGATGCATTGAAATGTGAAAAATAACATCATTAGTACAAAATATTTCATAGTATGCCGACAGTATAATAATGAAGCATGTTAGCTCTTGCGTATCAAGAGAATTTTTTTTTTTTTTAAATTTAATAAATAGCATAGGAATAATAGAGATATTAGATTAATAAGAAGAAAAATATGAACAGATCCATTATTTTTTGGTAATTTTCTATATAATTTTAGATGTTTTTACATGCGATTTCAAATATCCATTATGTGCTGTTCAAGCATTTGGTATTGCACTATCATCTTTTGATGGAAAATTAGCTTGCGAATAATATATTTTGTTTTTTATTGTACGCATTGTTTTGTCATTTATTTATTTGATTTTTGTTAATTATGTTTTGCTTTTTTTTAATCAAGTATATACTTGGTTTTTTGTTGTTTTTTTTTTTCTTATTTATTATTCTATCTATGTATAATAATACACATGCTTGGAATTTATTAAAATCAAAAATTTACTTCATATATATATATGTTTAAAAGATAATGAATAAATTCGGCTATGCTATGATCCTTTTTTTTTTGACTAACTATGAGAAGATGACTTTTCTATTCTGTGTTCTACTTTTTTTTTTTCATCGAGATGACATAGAGCTGATTCTTATGTTCATGGGGGCATTTTTTTTCTCTCATCACTTTGCTTATTGCTATAAGCGCGATGAGAAAAGAAATAGAAAAAGACAAAAAAGAAAAAATTGTGATATAGAGGAAAAGAAAAACGAGAAAAAGCTGTTAGAGTTGTATTCTCCCTTTTTTTTTGTTATTGTCAATTCGACGAATCATGGGAAATTCTTGCGCAAAATTATTATTGATTATTTTAAGTATATTTATGCCACCGTTAGCTGTATGGATAGCTCGAAATAAAATTTGCAGTTGTACTGTATTTATTAATCTTCTTCTTACAATACTTGGTTGGGTAAATATTTTTAATAATAAGAGAATGATAAATATAAAACACAAAAAAAAAAAACCTTTTTTTTCTTTTTTATGTTAAAGGTTCCTGGAGTTATTCATGCTTGGTGTGTTATTTGTTGTTGTGATAATCTGGATGGTTAGTTTCAAATGAAGATTAAGACATTTATTTCTTATCACCATGTAGTTGAAACATTTATATATATATATGTTTAAAAAAATATATTTCATTCGTATAGAAATATTTATTTGATATATTTTTGATTTATGTATTTTTAATGATGAATATGAATTGAATTTTTCTTTGAAATTTTTATTTTGAAGAAAGAATAGTATTTAGTAGATTAGAATTGGTTACACAATGTTAATATTGTTAAAGGTGAATACGACATTGAATAAGTTTCTTGTGTTTTGTTTTTTTTTGGTTCAAATTTTGTAATATGATATGTGTTTATTTGGACGAGAAATTATATACTAAATTTAGAAGTTTGAGAGATATGAGAAGAATCTTAGAATTTCAATTTGATATTTAGATATTATTATCTATTAAATGAAAACGTGCTTGCAAATTATAATATATATATATTCAATCTAATAGTAATTAAATATGAAAAAAAACAATGAGTTAATAAATCATATTAATTTTTTACATTAAGAAATAATTATATATTCAAATTGAATAAAATATAGAATTAACTAAACAAAAAAAAGTCAATGTAATCTAATGTCGAAAAATCATTAATGAATCATTTTATTATTTAGACATCTGGTATTTTCACTAGATTCTAAAGAATGATCTATAAAAAAAAAAAAAATTATTGATTTATTATTTCTACTGTTTACTCTCTTTTGTTTGTTTGATTCAAATATATTTTTTATTAAAACAAATTATACTTGAAATACTCAACAAGATTATATTTAATTGAATGTAAAAGTTGTTTAACATATACTTCATAGCAAATGAAAAATAAAGTCAAACAAATAATTATAATATAAAGATAGAAACACATAATGAAAAAGATTTGGGAAAACTTGCTATAATTCAATTGAATCAATGTCATTACAAATAATTAACTTTTAAATAAATAAAATCAATCTTATTAAATTACTAAAATCTTTATTTTCATATCAATGCACAGTTCTAAACAATAACAAATATCTTGAAGGTTAAATGAACCTTAGTTCAAAAGAGCAAATATTCATATAGTTCAGATGTTCATTTCTTAGTAATGAACTTCGGTATAGGTAACCAGTTTACTCAGTAAAAAGTTTTCCCCATTCGTTTCAGCTTTTTATTCTTAGAACAAATACAAAAGACAACATTCTTCTACATGATATACACACACTACTAGATGTGATTATTTATTAACCAAAGTGTATTATGTTATAATATTGTCTCATAATTTTTGTATACGGTTGTGTAAATTATTTAATTCCCTATCGAATAATATATAATTTAGAATTATGTATTTACTCTGTAATAAAAAGTATGCTAAATATAAACTTAGTTATTAAAAAAAAAGGTGTTTCTTTTGTTTGATGTCTTATAGAACATATACAGTGGCTCCCACAATTATCTGACAAGGTTTTTTTTCCGTTGCCTTGAACGCCAAAAAGAATTCAAATAGTGATTTGCGTAGGGAAAATTGTTTCCTACAAGGATATGAGAAAATTAAAAAAAAAAATGAATTGATTTCTAAGTTCAGAGTTTCCAGAAAACCAAAATCCTGGTTTTTCAGCATCTAGAATTGGCGAATGTAACTTTCTTAAAACTACATAGAAAGATAGAGCAAACAATTCTCTACAAAATGAGATGTTTCCGAACTCTTTAAGACTTTTTTTGACCGAGATACATGAATTTTAGAGAAGCCCCAAAACTCGTTTTTTTTCGATTTTCTATAGAAAAAGTGTTTCAAAGACTTGTTTAAAATTCGTGTATCTCGGTCAAAAAATAGTCGTAAAGAGTTCAGGAACGTCTTATTTTGTAGAGAATTGTTTGCTCTATCTTTCTGTATAATTTTAAGAAAGTTACATTCGCCGGTTCTCGATGTTGAAAAATCAGAGCTTTGGTTTTCTGGAAACTCTGTAGCATTCTAGACAACGGAAAAAAACCGAAAATAAACCTTGTGAAATAATTTTGGGAGCCACTGGATATCAAGGTCAATGATTCTGGTGCTCGGATCTGTAAATTTTTTACAGTCGGTGGTCGAGTTACTATTTTTGAGTTTCTACCATTTCTTTTTTGAACTCTCCACCGGAGCCGATTGTGTCTCATTCACTTGGGTACGAAAACTTCCTTTCTTTTTTTTCTTAAAAATCCAACCAAAGCGAAACTCCCAGTTCAAATTACCGGTAAGGTTTTTTAAATATACTACTGAACGGGTATAAATGTACATAACAGGAAAATAAGTATTTTTCTGAAAATACGTATTCAATTATTGAAAAAATTAAAGAGGATATACAAATTTTGTCCTTTCAACATATTAAATAAAAAATATGTCAAAACTTTTTGTTTACAAATTGTTCGCAATTCTATTTGCTGAAACTATTGAAGTGTTAATACAGTTTTGTTTTCTCTACGAATTGATTAAAAAAAATTGTAGGAAAGAGAGAAAACTCTCTTTCCAAATCATTTCTTACAACAAAAAAACCTTACCCAAAGTACAAAACAAAATGAAAAAAATATTATTTATTCATAACAAAACGAAAAAAAAACAACCAAAATTACTACGCAGCTGAATGACTACGTTGACGAACTAATGCTTTTGTTTTCTTTTGTTTTGTCTGCATTGTTGTCTTATTATTTTCATTTATCATTGAATTATATTCATTTTTAATTTTTTCAAATTCAATTAAAATTTCTTTGCATTTCTCAATTGTTAGACCTGATTCAATTGCAGCTCGATTTTCCGGTGACATATCTTCATCAGAAAGTTTCAATCGAGATAATATTTGTTGATCTCGATTAGGATTTAATAATAATACATCATTCGAATTTTTATCATTTTTATGTACTAAAATTTTTGCTTGAGCATAAACACCTCGACTTAACCAAGTTATTGAAGCTAATGTACCAGCAACAGGTTTAATTATACTATTTGGTATAGCAACAGCAGCACCAGTAGCAACACCTAATATACCACGTCGTTGATAACCTGTTCGAGGTTTATTTATTAATCCAACTACACCATCTTTAAATCCATGCCATACAGATTTTCCAGCAGCTTTAGCTCCCGATTGAAAATTATCAATATGTGGTCGTTGACGTTCATCACTATCAGAATATGGATCATATAATATTGGTAAACGTTCAAGTGCATCAGTTATATCACCATAAAATGATAAACAACCAATTGATGCATGTCCAAGACTTTTTCCAACACCTTTAAGTATACATTCAGCACCATCACGTGCACCTATAATAAAATTACTTGAATTTTTTACTTCTTTTAAATTTTTCGGTGTATCAACAAATAAATAATTCAATGCTTTTTGTCCATGTTTTATTATACCAAGTAAAGGAATATGAGGACGTTTATCATTTGATAATTTATTCCAATTATAAGTTGAATGTAAACTTAATTGTATTTCTTTAATCATACCAGCTGTAACAAGTACTTGTGCAACAGGACGTGAAATTTTTAAATTATAATCTTTTAAATAATAACATGCACCAAATGATGATTCAAGATCACTTTGCATATTTTTTAATGGTAAATTTAAATGAAATGCTTGAACAGCATTATCACAACCATTTTCATTTTGAAATGCATGTTGTAAATTTTTAGCAGCTTCACATATATCTGATTGATGTACTAATTTAAATGCTTCAATAAGTTCATTAACATTTAAACGTGTACCAGGTATAGGTCGTGCACCAGCACCACTTTTCCAAACCATTGTTCCCCAAAAAAATTGATCACCAAAAAATGGAACAATTATTGTTGGTTTTCCAGCACGAAGACCAGCAGCTGTTGTACCTGCACCTCCATGATGACAAACAGCAGCAACTATAAAAAATTAATAATTTTAAAAATTATTTTAAAAAAATAAATATTATACCATATTGAAATAACCAATCATGTGGACAATTATCAATTTTTAAAACATTATCAGGTAATTGATCATCATCATTAGCTAGACCAGATAGTAATGCTCGATATCCTGTTGTATTTAAAGCTTCTAAAACAATTTGTAATATTCGACGTGAATCATGACCAGTAATTGAACCAAAACCAATATAAATTGGTGGTTCACCAGTTTCAAGAAATCGAGTAAGATGTTCAGGTGGTTGATAATTTTTTGCAAGATCAAGAAAGAAAAAACCAGATACATTAATATATTCAGGCCAATCAGATGGTTTAGGAACAAGAGAAGGTGACCAACAATATGTATGGGGAACGTGTTCTAAAATCATTGCATGAACTGCTTCATGAGTATGTAAATATGAAAGTTGAAGAGTTTCTTCACGAAATTCATTAATAAGATCACGTAAACCAGACCATGTCTAAATAGATATTAAATAAATAAATAAAAATTTTTCATTTCTATTTCAATGATAATCCTTTGAAATAATTAAGAATCGTAATAATAAGAAAAAATTGAATATTATGATTTTTTTTTCTCTAATATCTATAGATCAGAATGCAATTCATAGTTTAATATCTTAATTCTATGAAATATTTTTAGATATAAGTAAATGACACAATATAAAACCATAAAAAGAAAGACTAGATAGTTCTCAAAGGGGAAAATGCTATACTTCAGTGTACTTTCAGACTAAGCCATAACTTTGCATCAGATCTGTTTAGCTATTTCAAGTCTCTTATCGATCTGTGTTACGGTATATTAGTCGAAGTCTAGCTTACGTTAATTACCCTCATTCTAAAGCCAACATACTTCATTGTACATCCAAAGTACGAGTACGGTGAAATATTTGGGCTTTATTGTCAGATAGATTTATGTTGGCTGGACTCCGGCTAATATACCGTAACACAGATCTGATGAACAATTATGGCTTAGTCTAGAAGTACGCTGAAGTACAACATTTTCGCTTTTTTTCCATTGGTAATTCTTCACAATGTACATAGACTGAAAAACAACTATCGTAAACTGCGTAATACATTAAAAATCGATCTTCGTATGCAATGCCATACATGCGAACGTGAATGACGTATGCCATGAACGTAAACAACTGTCGTACACGATTGTATTTAGTCGTAAGTCAATTATCAGAGTTTTTCGGTTCTCGTCGAAAATAATTGTAACCTGACAAAGACGATCATCAGGTCCGATCACTAGACTTCTGCTTCCAAGTTCCTACCATTTTCTGACTGAAAACGGTGTCTTTTCTGCGGGTTCCTACTGGAAGTTCACAACTCTGGGCATCGGTCTAGGTTCCTATCATTTTTGCGAGTTTTCTAGCAGAAAAAAAACCGTATTTCTTGACCCGGGGTGAAGTCATACACCAAAATATGATACTATACAGGTTTCATAGCGACTACTACTTGCTACTGTGTAGAGCTTCATGCTTAATTTGAAGAGTTTACTTAATATTCGTATTTATACTTATATATCTAATATTCATTGCCCTTGAATCAATTATTTGTTCTATTTTTTAGCATTTTAGACTCAATTTTAATACATACATACTTACCAACATTTCAACAACACCATAAGATAGTCTATTAAGACGATCAATTGGTCCAATATCATTATTAACATTACAAAATGGATGTGGAAAAGCACTTGTTGGTGACCATGGCATTGTAAACATTATATGAAGTGGAATTTGCAATTTTTGTGCACAATGTATATGGCCATAAGATGGTGGATTAGCAATAATAGCTTCAGCTATAAATGGTACATTTGTTTCATCATCATGATCAGTACATGCTTTCCATGTAGATTTAAGTATATCAGCAATAATACGACGACTTTTTTTAACATCACCAGCTACAATACTACTAACTGATGGAACAATACCAGCATTTTTAACCATAAATGACATTAAATCAGCTGGATCACCAGCTAATGGATAAAATTCAATACCATTATCACGTACAAATTTTCGAAATGTTTCATGTGTAGCAAGACGTACACGATGACCATAATTAAGTAATGTTTTAGCTAATGCAATAAAAGGTTGAACATCTCCACGTGTACCAACAATAAGAATAACAATAGCAAGACGTGGTATAGGACTAATTTGTAATGATTGTTTAGCTTCATCAAAATCTTTCATAGATAATTGAACCCAATCATTTTTTTCATCTAAATGAAATTGTTCATCATCAATATTTTGTATTGCATCAATTGATACATCAATAAGTCCTTTAGAATCATTAAAACTTGCTGTATAATCAAGTTTTTTATGATATATTTTTAATGTATTTTCATCAATATCATCATAATTTAATTGACCAATACACATTGATGATATAACAAAACGAATATAACTCGTAAGTGAATTACCTTCGGGTAAATTAATAATAATAACATTATCAGAATTATTTTGTAAAAATGATGTTATTTCAATAAGTTGTTCTGTAAGTTTACCAATATAAATAGGTATTTGATTTAACCATATAATTATTTCTGAAATTTTATTATTATTATTTAATATTTCCTTATTATAATCAGATAAAATAAAATGTAAATAAATATGTTGTTGTTGTTGTTGAATATCTGATTTATATTTCCATTCAAATTTTTTACGATACCAATATGTTGATGAATCATGTTTAATATTATAATGTGGTAAATCAATATTATTCCAATGATTATCATCATAATTTATTGAAAAACAATCTAAATCTGGTGTTTGATTAGATATTTCTAAAAATTTCCAATCACGATCACAATGTATAATAACATTAGATTCGTTACAATCATCATTTTTATTATTAGTAGACATTGGTCTCTAGAAAATGAAAATAAAAATATTTGCATAAGGATATTTTATATGAAAGAATGAAGAAAGAAAAAGAAAAAAGTGGTAACATTAAAGAAAGGATTGACGAAAAAAAGAAAATATTACCCTTGTATGATGTTGAGAGTCTATGGATTATATTTCTTTTTCTTTTTTTTTTGTATCGATAAATATGGACCCTTCACCTATGTACTATAAACTATACTTTTGAGATATACTTAACTTTAAACAAGTTCGATAAGAGAAGAGTATAAATGTTGATATAAGTAAAAAAAAATGTAATACATTATCTGTTATGTTATTATTTTGTTTCTTTGATAAGAACAATGACAAAGAAGAAGATCTATCTGTAGGAAAAGAAAGATCCAAATCATTATCTTTTTTTTTCTATATAGAATTAAAAAAAAAATTTAATATGTTTTCAAGATCAGCGCCATTAACACATGGTCTTGCTCTCAGTTCTTCATGGAAGATAAGACTTTCAGAATATTTTTGTTTGTCACCAAATGTACGTATTCATCGCTATAGAATGTATTGCTTCAATTCTATTAAATAAGGTGAAGAAGATTGTTAGATAATAAAATAGACTTATGTCTTAAAATTGAATTTCTTATTTTTCCAATACTCAATTCAAGTTTGTTCCGAAAGTTGATCATCTTTCAAATTAAATTGTGAAATGTTATTTCGACTGTATGTATCTGACTCAAAACTTCTTATTATCGATCTTCAATAGCGTTATACAGTGACATTCACTTCTTTGGAGAAAACCTGTCGAAAAATATTAAGATCTCGATAGAGAAATTTTCAATAAGGCTAAACATATGGTTCTCGATCTAAAACAACCTACTCAACAAGACTGAATAGATTTCATGTACATGTAAAATTTAGATCGAGTACTTCTCTATGGCAGAAGTCCATATCTTACATGTAACGTCTATTGTATTGTCAATTCCTACTACGTCATTGATACATATAGATATTTTTTATTCTTATATTCACTTCAAGTACGACTATAGTTCTTTTTTTTCAATAAAATAATAAAATGATAAATATTCTTATCATCTAGATTAATGTTTTCAAGACAGCATATAATCGATAATGATAGATACACATATTTATTGATCTCTTTCGGCATATTAGATTTAGTCATTGCTGATTGTATGGTTTTTTTTTGACTTGTTTCACAAACTATTACAACAAAAAAGCGTCGACAAATACATTCGTCGTTCATTGAACAACGGTAAAATAACAAAAACGAGTAGCATATTTTTATGTTATTGAACGTATAAAAATATTTCATAAAAGTGACAAAAATACATGACTAATTGAAAACTATTTTCAAGAAGAACAAAAAATAAATAAATTTTATTGAATATACAATTTTATTAATAACATATTGCGTAAATTAATCAATAGGAATCAATTAAAATTAGTTTGATATTTTACTCAAATTTTTCATGTCCAATTTCAACTAGACTGCCATGTCTTGTGCTACTTTTTAATATAATTTATCAAATTGACCATTCGATACTTTTTTGAATCATACCCAGATGCGTAAAAAAACAAGTAAAAGACTAGTCGTATGTTTAGTCATGCCAATACGTCTCGTCTAGGTTTTTTTCTCAAAAAGTTCTAGTATATAACTAGTTCGAAATCAATTGTAGTCCATAGTTCACGTCCTGACTTCTCAACTCATGGAAGTCATTCAGTTTCTGATGTCTAGTCTTTGTGAAAAAAGACTAGACATGTTGTGCTGTCCCTCATTCCACATCAAAAAATGATTTTAAGGGAAGTCGCGGTTCCCACTTTTCGATTCAAAAAGTCTCATTCGATAGAGGGTGTGGATGTAGGTCTGGATCTGCATGCGTATTTGAGTTTCGGCGCTTGTGGATATGGGCCTCCTTTTAAGCCACACCCACATCTACACCCTCACCCGCATATAAACTGCATTATTGTAATAGTCTTATTCATGAAATAGTTAATGGTGAAAAAATTTATTATTTTATATTAAAACAAAAACAAAAAAATGACTATTATCTCGTATATGGGTTCTATGAATTTCTGACCGGTCCGAAATTCCGGTGATTTTCCGGGCCGGATCGAGATTACTTGTGGGCTTTCGGCCCATGACCTCATTGATGCCTTAAATATAAAACCTAATTTTTTATAATTAGTTGGTAAACATTGTAATGCTGAGCAGGACGTCGTAGTGCTGAGCAGTATGGCATAGTGTTGAGCAGAGGGTGTGGAGTGTGGATGTCCCTTACTTCAACACTCACGCCCACACTACTCCACACTTCACCGACATCTACGTCATAATGCTGAAGTATTACATCCTATCCAGCACAACGCCATAGCGCTAAGTGCTATGACGTAGTGCTGGGCAGTATGGCATACTGCTGAGCAGAAAATCATACTATTCAGCGCTATAACATTCTGTTCAGCAGTATGTCAACTACTCAGCACTACAATGTCTAGCAACTAGTTTTAGAAAATTAGATTTTTATTTTAAAGCCAATGAGATCATGGGCCCAAAATTCCGTAGGCGGAAATTCTGGTCTCCCCTAGTGTATAACAACAATTATCAATGAAATCAGGAGGTCTCAAACGAAAAAGACATTTTCAGTTTTAAATGCAGAAATAAATAATAAATTCTTGCTCTTGTCATCGATTATTAGTGAAAAGAGCTACAATCGACAGGAAAGTTTTCAGTTTGTAAATGATGCATTACGATAACAACGTTGAAGGATATACGTTAGTTCCGCACTTCATCTCCACAGGAGCTGCGCTAACAAACTTTTATTGTGCTGATGCGAAATATCATATTATTAAAAGATAAAATACGAACTCTACTGCTCGAAAATCGTCAAATATTAGTAGAAAACATGGTATTTGTTGTGATTAAGAGTACTTAGAAGAAAAGTAAATCTTCAGTCATCAAATATCAAGGTAAAATGAGATAGTAAGTAAGAGTACATAGAATTTCGTATTCATAAAATAAAATAATGCTGATATAGAAGAAAAAAGTTCAGTATCGAATCGACCTATTTGTGATGAATATAAACCGAAATTTAATAAGCTTTTGAGTCAAACACTGATTTTTAAAGATTTCATTGAATGATTCATATTTTTCTTATTATCCGAGTACTTTCGTAAAGTTATATGATATTTGGAATCAGCACACTTAAGACTATCGAAATATAAGGACTTGAAACAGAACGACGAGAAAATGTTTTTTGGAATATCTGAAGGAAACTCCAAGCATGAAAATCGACATTGACGATTTTTGGGGAATATAGTTGAAGAAAGTGAACAGGGACGCTCGCGTTTTCGATAAGTCAGAAACGCTTACGCTCACCGTGAATGTGAGTGACAAGGACGTAAACGCTCGTGAGCGTGAGCTGTACACTCCTACTCTAAAATTTCATCTTGATTGATTTTATTCCTGATGTTGGCCTATTCTAGTAGTAACATGTGTTATGTGTTAAAATACCAATACGAAGTTTCACAAGTGTCTATTATGACAAATTTTTAACCAATTTTTTCAACATCTTTGTGTTCAGATGGATAAGCTTTGTATTCGCTCATATATAAAAACTCGTTGATAATTAGGTTTAAATGCTACACAAATTCATGATAAATTAATTGCTGCTTATGGACAAGGTGTTGTTGTTTCATATAGTACAATTGCTCATTAGATTGATCGGTTTTCAAGTGGACGAAAGTCGTTAGAAGATAATCCTCGTAATGGTCGCCTAATAACCGTCATTACTAAACAAAATATTGATGCGGTTCAGGACCTAATGAATGATGATCCACATATTAGTATTGATTATGTTACTCTCACCTCAGACACAGTTATCATATAAACTATCGTGATGAATATTTGAAGATTTCAGTCAAAAATTTACATCAGAAAAAAAACATCATCAAAAACCAGTAGCCTAAGTTTGCATTATAAAATTGCGAAATTACATATTCAAGATACTGTTCTTCATCTTTACTATCTTCAAGAGGAAAAATGAAAGTTATGGCTCATCTACCATACTCATCTAACCGTGCTCCTTTAGACTTTTGGTTGTTCAGTTGTCTGAAACGCAGCCTTGATACATATCCAGATGCTACAAGTTTAGCTAGAGCAATAACCAACGAGCTTAATTCAATATCTATTCAAGAATACCGAAAGACATTTCAGAAGTGGATTGAAAGGATGAAACTTTGTATTGCACATTGTGGGGACTAGTTTGAACATTTACTGTAAAACGATTAACAAAATGTTTTTTTTCTATGAATAAATTTTTGAAAGTCCGAGAACTTATTGACTAACCTATGTAAATATTCGGATCTTTTAGCCATCTTTTTTAAAAATATAAACTAAATGATGAATGACATAGTAACATTGTAGATAACTTGTAAATTGTTTCAAAACTTTTTCTTCTATAATCGAATTATATATATTGTCATAAAGAAAATTCATGCTTATGTATTATGTCAATCTATATAATGAATTCATCTGCAAATTAAATAATAAAGAAGATTAGGGGGTGGCACTTTACTTTTACTAGTAATAAGTAATAATTAATGGCATTATTACTTATTACCAGTAATAAGTAATAATTTTGAAAAGTAATAAAAGTAATAAAGAAATGTTGGTAATAATGTAATAAAAGTAATAGTAATAAAAGTAATAACTGTTATTACTAATTACCAGTAATAGTAATAACCATACAAAAAAGTAATAAAGTAATAAGGAAGTAATAAGTAATAATAAATAGGATAGTAGAATTATTTCTGATCATCGATTAGATTTTCATTTCCTCACTAAAGCATTACGACACCGTCAGATTTCATTTTTCCACATAAATTGATCTAAATAGTTATACATTATAGATGAAAAAAGTATAGTTTTTGGATTATGCAGAACAAGTTTGATTAAAATAATACTTCGCCAAGGCGTAGAAAGTTAACTTAACCTGGTAATGAGATCTTGTTAATTTAAACGGAGAAAACACTCGTGCTTTTCTTTCATAATTTATGCAATTACCATTATTAATAATCTTGGACCATATGATTGCGTACTAGGATTATAGTTTTTGAATTTTAAAAATATGTAAGTTTGTCGTATAAGTTGAATCATTAAATAACAAAGGACACATGCTTTATTTTAGTCGATCCCTATAGTGTAAGACCTTTTGTCAACCTAAACCAGCTGTTATGCAAAAACTATATTGTATGCATTTTCTTTTTGATTAGCTAATTAAAATAAATGAAATTCATGTTTTTGATAAACAAGCATCCAAAGTTTATTTCAATATCTTTTCTTAAAATTAAAAATAATAAAAATATAGCTTTAAAAATGTGTATATCAAGAAATCTGACGAGCTACATATCCAAAAAACTTTCATCCTTTTTGATTAATAAAAAAAAAATGTTTAATATATCTGACTTAATCTTTTAACCACATCAACATCTCGTAATACCATCGTATAGCAAAGATTAGTGGACGATAGAGAAGATCGTTGTTTCCTCTGTATATAATTAGCACAGCTAAATAATGATTCACTGGCGACGCTTGTTACAGGTCATAAGCAAAATCGAGGAACCAATGAAGCTAATATAGGCATTTTATCTTGATTTAAGTTCCAGTACGATTGAAAATTTCGTTTTGGAGTCCCTGTCGTCGCATAATAACCTAATTCTTGCTGTATAGTCCATATAGTTCTTTTGTTGGTGGTTTTATGAACTGGTGGTTTTTCTGCTAAGCAAATTTTTAATAAATAATCGATTGATTTTTCCATATGACCTTTAGATGATTCCATGGATTGTTCAGCATTACTTGACGAGACTATAATATTATTTGTTGTTGCTGATGATATAAGTTTTTCCGACCGAAGAATTTCATTATATTCTTGAATAAGTATAGTTTCAGCTTTTTTCAAATCAGATACAGTCAAATATTGTTTTGCATATGGACATAAAAAGGCAGCAATCTGAAATAGTGAGACAAATAATCAAATCAAATAAAAAGCATAAGATTCAATATACTAATGCTAAACGACTTTGTTCTTCTGTGACTTTGACTTCGAAATACATTGTATAGTTTTTTAAGAGTTGACTTTTTAAAATATTTTCCCAATGATGATATACATTTCGAGTTGATAAAAAATTTTTCAATTCAAAAACAATTACTTTCCCGGGAGCAATCGTTGCATAATTACGGGCAGATAAGGCATGTGTAGCACTTTGAAATGGATCAAGTATTTTTTTTCAAAATAATTATCCATTCCCAATGTTGAGGACATAATGTTAATGACATTAGACAATCACATTTGGATCTTTTTAGATTCGTAATTTTTCCTGGAGTATTGATAATATCAACAATTATACGACGATGTTCGATGAATTTTGTTAACATAACACAAGTTGTATTCCATCTAATATGGAAATCAACTACAAGTTCACCACTTCGTATAGTTTTATCAGCTTTTGCTTGTCTACGAACATATTCTTTAATTAAATAACATTTCCGAATTAAAATGATTAAACAACGAATACGACATAATAACAAATGCATACCAAATACTATTTTACCAGGAGGAGTATCATTTGTAATTGTATCTTCAAATATTTGTTCATCAACAATATCATTTAATTTTTCCTGAGCTTGTTGTTGTTCCTGTTCTTCACTACTAATGTTTTCTTCGTCACTAGAATCTTCAGTAACTGATTCTGCTTCTGATGTTGCATCTTCCTCTAATAAGACATTTGTATTTAGTGCATCCGATTCAGCCATACCTTTGGTAATCTGAATCTCTTCTGAATAGATCATTGGTTCTTCTTCCTCATCAGGTGATGTTGTTTTATTCAACCACATTCTTGAAGAAAAAACATTGAAATATAATAGAACACACACGAAATACAATAAGAAAAGTTGTTACTGACTTTCTTAATACAGATTTTTTTTTCCATAGACCTAAGTCTTGAGAACCCTAGTGAAAGTACTCACCTAAAGAGTACTCAAAAAGTACTCACGCTAGAAAATGCCGCGAATACTCATGAGTACTCGGGACTTTTGAGTACTCGTCGGTCGTACTCACTATGAGTTTCGAGTAAATGAGTACTACACATCGTTACTTTCATGCCACTGTATTCTAGTTGAGTACTACGATCATTCATTTCTTATAGTTAGTAG